CAATTTAAGATATATATAAAAGTGTCAGACCTTCCGGAACATTTTCAAAATTTAAGTTTAAAAAGTTTTACTTTCTATATGCATTTTTTATATTTGAAGCCCCCCCATATATAGGGAAATAGTCTGATTTAAAAAAAAAGTATATCCAATGAAAGATGTATATAAATACTACTTCTCATGAAAAAATTGTATTGATCCATACATTTTTTAAAAAGTTATAGCACTTTAAAGTAAAAAATGTAAATTATAAAATCGAAAATTTTCACACAAAAATAGCATTCGGTGCCATTTTCGCCGTGAAGACAAGTCCAGAGGTCAAATTTTTTTTTTTTTAAATTAAAGTATATTACATTAGCTTTAATTTAAGATATGTATAAAGTGTCAGACCTTCCGGAACATTTTCAAAAGTTAAGTTGAAAAAGTTAATTTTTTGTGAAAAAGTTGTCATTTTAAATCCCCCCCTGTGGGCAGGTTAAGTGTCAGATTTACAAAAAAAATATACCAAATGATAAGTAAAGACATCAAGCATCTATATAAAAAAAATTTATATTGATATGTTCATTTTTGAAAAAGTTACGGCAGTTTTTAGTAAAAAAAATTGAAAAAATTTCGAAAATTAGCGATTTTTAAATTTGTAATTTTTTTGGAGGTTTCCCCCATTTATAGGGAACGAGGGAAATTTTTTCAATTTTGAAAGGTAATGTCTTCGACTAGATACGATTTGTGATCTTTTGACGTATCGTTGAAAGAAATCCGTTCGGTGTGAGCTGAGAAAAAGTGGTAACAGACACAAAAAAAAAAAATCACATAATGGTAAAATTAATACCTTCTCAGTTCGCATCGAAGCTAAAAATAAATTGAAAACTACACAACTAATTGGCGACAAATTCATTGATTATTTTTAATTCGATGGACAGGTATTTGAAAAAATGAATATTAAAGTCAATCGAGTTAAGCAGTAAGAGCCACAAAGTCAAATAATCGGATAAACAAAATTAAGGTGTCATCAATATATAGTACAATGAAAATATTACATGAGAGAACGTGACTTGGCGGCAAATGGTAAAATACAATAAATATAGTTTTAAAAAATTAAAAAAACACGCTTTTAAAGCACATCGAACTAAAAAGTTAAAAATAATTTTTAAAATAAGTTTAAAATAATTATGAACAAAAAATACTAGTATTATTGTGATAAAAGCGTCGGGCGCTCAATATACGAAAAATATGGTACAAAGCACCCACGCTTTAAACTATATTTATTTTTTACTTTTTAGTTTTATGTTATGATAGTAGTTTCAATATCATGGTTGTAACGGGTAACGGGAAATCAGGGTTTGATTCCGGGGAGGTAGTCTGAGAAACGGCTCCCACATCCAAGGAAAGCAGCAGAGCGCAAATTACCCATTCCCGGAACATGGAGGTAGTGACGAAAAATGACGATACTGGATTCATCCTTTGTAATCGGAATGAATGAGTTCTATATCTCTAAATAAGAATAAAGTGTGTTATTATATATTTTTAATAGTAATTAGAATATATATATACATGTAAAGCGACTTAAGTACGTAAACGTATCATGCATTAGGTATAACCGTGTTTTGTGGGCGGGCGGGTCGAACTAACGTTAAACCTGAGGTATAAACGGCGGTAGGAATATATACATAAGCCGTATGGTATTGGTCAGTCAAAATAAAAATTTGTTTATATATATATAATATTGATGACAAACACACGGGTACGATAACCAAAAATAAATTTATACAGAGGAATAGTGTTACCGTCGTGTGATAAGCGTGGCATGGGGTGGGGTGAATGCGTTATGACAGTCTAGTCTAGACGACGGAATATGCGATAACGNAGTCTAGACAGACAGTCTAGTAGTGGCGTTTGGAGAGTTACATACATACATACAGGTGAAACTAATATAAGCGTGTTAAAAAGAGATCCTAAACTTCTCTTTATTAAATTGATACAAATGTATTGGCTGGCGAAAGGGCAAAGTGCTGTTTATATCCAAACCAAACTTGACATTCTTGGCACACTTACTTTGAATGGACAAGAAATTGGCTCTAAGTTAATTGAAGTGTATTGGCTATACACCTATTCTATATAGTGATTTGGAGTGGTAGACCAGAACAATACTTAATACAACCAGGATAGAACTTAAACGCATTCAAAGAATGGCTGTTATAACCATTACTGGAGTGATAAGAACCACACTAGCAGTGCCCCTGAAGGCATTAATTGGACTACCTCCTTTATACATAGAGGTTGAAGCTCATGTCAAAGCTACAATACTACAAATCCACAACCCAGGTATTTGGTATATGGAAAGAGATACCGTAAAACATATGGTTGTAGGAGTTAAAAATAATTAAAGATTTGTAAATAAAGTTAAAGAGAAGATTAACATTTAATTATGAACAAATATAAAATAACCACATACAAAATATTGATGTATGTTTCAATATTAGAATGTACAAGTATAACAGACTTTAGTGAAGACACAAGTAAAATTACAATGTTGATTTTATAAAATAAAATAACAGAGTGCAACTATAGGTGGTTGAGTGATTTACAAGGATATAATATTGTATAATTAAATTTTAAAACTAATTTAAAATTGTTTTCACACACACAATAAAATTCTAAAATAAATATTAATACTATATATTTATATATGATAAAATAAAATACTTCACACATAACAAGTTGTTCGAAAAGTCTCAGACTAACAAATAGACATTTTTTTCGCAAAATTTGACTTTATTCAGCGACATAGTTTTCATCTAGAGTGATACATTCATTCCAAAGACATTATAACATTTCTATGCCTTTCATATAGAGTGATTTATATTTGCCCTTAAAATACAACCCATTTTTGCATTGACTTCTTCATTCGAGCTAAATATTTATCCCTGGACATTTTTGCCAACGTTTTTGCTGTTTTTGACACAGTGCAGCATCTTGATGAAACAGGATTTTTTTCTTTGTCATATGTGGCCTTTTTTTCGTAATTTCATCTTACAAATGCTCTAATAATGCAAAGTTGTAATTGCTAATAATTGTTTTACCATGTCGAGATAATTATTATATATAATTCCATACCCATCAAAAAATACTGAGGCCACAACTTTGAATTTTTCTATGAACTCTGAAAATGAACAAAGCTTACCAATCATCATGATAATCAATTGGTGTTTGACAACAAAAAGTTATTGAGAAGAGAAGATTAACAATGCAAAAGTTGATAATATGACACGAAAAATAAAGAGTATGAGTCAGAATTAAATTTGAGAGGTTGAAAATTAAAATACATGCAGTATATTTTGGACATATAGCGAACAGACGAGGACACTGGGCACATGAAAAGTGAAATTACTGTGGCAACCCAAGTTCAGTCAAGTCTAAAAATTACAAATCATATCAATTAACATTATCATTACCATTGTACAATTATACCATATAGAAAAAAATGAGGACTTCATGATTTTTTTTTTAAATTAAGAGATTATATAATTATCATTATTGAAATATTTATTTAATGAAAATAAATGTATAAGTATACAGAGAGATGGCAATAATACATCAATACATCAAAAATATTGATATTATAAGACAATATATCGAGTTTTTTGCATAGATAGTTTCATTCAATAAGTATTGAATATCAATACAACAGAAGTGAAATCCAGACAATCCAGACCCTGTTTAGTCTAAAAACAAAAATTAATCAATATAAAAAAGTTCTATAAATACATTTGAGAGATCAAAATATATACCTTGTTTTATCAATACTGTTAATTTATAAGATAATGGTTTAAAAAAATATTATTTTTGTATATTACAACATATATATAAATACAGAGAATTAAAATAATCAATAAAATGTTTTTCTGGCCTTTTTTATAGTCTTTCCAATGTAATTTAACTACAATAAATGTTAAATAAAAAATAATAGTTCTTACTCTTGAGAAAAAAGTGTGACTTCCACAACGTTATTAGTATAAAAAAAAGAATAAAAATTATTTCAAACCAAAAAAAAAAAGACTGATAACTTTATATTTTAAGACTTGATAACTTGTAATATTTAATATGTATGGATGTATTACATTATTGTATTTCTAATTAAAATTAATTAAAATATTTCAAAAATTCATTATTATTATGTCTTAATTAACCATGGTTTTCTTTTATCTGTAAGACCCTTTTTCCATTATTAACCTAGATAATCGAGGTGTCACTGTATATACGCAACCATTTTAAATAATAATATTCACTGAAAAATGTATACACTTACTAATAGAAATTTACTACTCAGTACATTTCTGTTATTCCGCGCAAACAAGTACGTGTAATCACATGTATATACATATTAAACGTATCACATTTCCACAAGTGGCATATTTACTACCTAATTGGTTAAAGCGAACATATAAAAAACAAATTTATAACAATTCACTCATTCGTTCATAACAAATACGTACTAAAAGAATAGAGATGACAAAACATCGGACGACTACGAAACGCCATGACAGACATGTGAGCGTTGGCCAAAAGATGACGAGAAACGTCACCACGATTATAACATCTTAATAGCATGATAACAATTATAATTAATATGAATTAATAACTTCAGAATAATCCAATGACCGCATAAAAACTTTGGATGGAAACTAAGCCAAAACTACGACAGACACTGTGATAACGACGAATTAGCGGGAACGGGTCACGCGATAATACGTAGAGTGGGAGCGACACTCCTCTTTTTAACACATCGTTTAGGTTTTATGAAATTTTGAAAATCCAGAAATACTAAGTATTCCGCTGACAAAAAATTCACAGAAGGTCACAAAAAATTTGGAATACTATATTCTATTGAACGGTACAGGCCGTGGGGTATTAAAAACAAAAATCGAATTTTAATTTGAGAAAAACTGAAAAATTTCTTCCAAGTGCAACTTATACTTGGGGGACAGATTCACCAAAACCTACAACTGATGTTAACAAAGTATCAGACAATTCTTAATGATGTGTTAAATAAGAGTACATTGTGTTTATATTTTATAATTTATCTGTCAATAGCTATAAAAACAATTAAATATAATGGAAAAAAAAGTAAATTTGGTTTCTCATACTAAATCTGAAAAATATTCACAATTTTCAAGTAAATCTATTCGTACTAACAATGGTTTAAATTTAAACTGTAGCGTTTCATTGATAAAAATTGATTCTACAGAAGTCGAGAGTAATATTGAATCTACTTCTAACACGGTTCCTAAAAAGAATGTTGATCCTGTGCCTGAAGTTCAGTTCATTAAAAGATCAACTAGAAAACGTACTTATCATATAAAAGTATCTGATGACGATTCTTTGGATATTTTACAGCCTAATGAACCCAAACAAAGAAAATATTTGCAAAATCAAAAGTCTGAAAAATCTGAAAGTAATCAACCAATCATACCATTGCCTCAAACAATTACAAAAAAGAAAAAATGTAAATCTTCTACATCTCCTAAAACTTGTGATGTCTCATTAGTATCTAACATAAAAAATACTTGTAATATTCAACCAATAAATAATAATAATAGTTTAAAAAATGTTACTAAGGATAAAATTCTTCCTTCAGACTTAGAAAATGAAATAACAACTAAAAGTAAAAACTCTAAAAATAAATTTGCTAGTAATAGACCATCAGAAAGATTAATTAGTCAAAGTATACCAAAAGCATTAAGTGCTAATAACTCTACTAAAGGATCAAAAACTTTTAAATCTTTATTATCTAAAAATAAAAGGTCAAATACGAAAAACTCTGGTGTACTTTCTTGTGAATTAAGTTCTACAACATTTGAAAACCAAATAGATAATGATAAGTTACAAAAATTAAATGAAACAAAAGTTCCTCACAAGGCTGATTTTATCAAAACAAGGCATGATGGTCATAAATCTTCCAAATTAAAAAAAAACTGGAGCGAAACATGGGCTGAGAAATCTTTGCCAATTGATGAATGTCTATCAAATAACAAAAAAAGTGATTCCTTTAGAATGCTAACCAGAAATAGAAATAAAAGTAGTAGTAGTATACCATACAAAGATATTAAAATTAAAAAGCAAGAAAATATTGAAAATACAGATACTGGCATTCAAAAAAATCTAACAAAAATTTTAAAAACAGATATATTTGCTGAAAATCAAACTAACACAGATTCTGACATTACCACAATTCAATCAAGTGTTTCTAATTCAACAAAGCCTATATCTAGTGTTAACAATGAATCAGAAATTTCTGAATGTTATATATCAAACTCAATACTTCTGCAGAATGAAAGTGATAATGAAACTAATAATACATTAAGTACTGAACAACTCAACATTAATAATTCTTATACAGCACAAATTCCTGAAGACTTATTATTTGATGATAGTATAATACCAGTGTCTACAGAAACTCCTGATAGTGAATTATGTGATATTTTAAAAGAAAATCCTATAACATGTAATCAATATATAAAACCATTAAATGAAACATCTGGAGAAAATTTAAGTGATGTTAGAAATGAGTTAATAAAAGATCAAAAAAATACAAAACCAGATATTGAAAATAAATTTCTTCATAATAATAATAATCAAAGAAAAAAATTTATTAAAACATGTAAGCCAGTTAAATTAAAAACTAAAACAAAAAAAAAAAGTAGATCTCTAGACCCAGAATTATCTAGTGATTTAATTTCTCAGAAAATTAAAAGGGCAATAAGTAATTCAGTAGTTCCTAATAATTCTATGACTTGTAAATCTACTATTGAATCAATCTCTAACAATATTATAAAACAAAATGAAACTGAAAATCTATTGGTTGAACATGATGTTCAATCTATTGTTGATCGATATGATATTCCATATGATACTGTGAAACAAGTTGTAGTTGATGACCCTATCTTAATATTTCGAGAACAGTATTCAAAAGAAATAACTCCAGAAATGATTACGGTTACACCTATTGTTTTAGATTTTAAAACAAATATAAATTCTAGTTCAGACTGTGTGGATAGTATAAAAGTTGATTACAAAGTACAGCCTTTTAGGCAAAGAAAAGCTTATGAAAAAGATAATCTAAAGGATTTAATGACTGAACTAACCAAAACGATGCCGTCATGGAGCTTAAGTATTGTTAGCAATCCTGCTAGATTTGTTATTTCAAAAATGTCTATTAATAATTATGGAGTACCTAATGCTAATAAATCAATAGTTTTGGATAGAAACTTCAGAGGATCTGTATACATTAACCAATCATTGGATTACAAGTACAGCAAACAATACACAACAGCAAAAGAGATAGTTGATCTTATTATACAAATTGACTGTCTTTGACATAATTTTTGTTATTTAATTTACTCCAATGTCATTGTTCAAATTTTTATTTATTTGAATTTTAGTTTCTTTTTAAATTTTAATTCTAGTATTGTTATTATTTAATGTATGGTCAATAAATTAATCAAGTAAAACATCACTTTATTAATTTGTTTATATTGTTTCTTTTATATTTGTTATTTTATAATGATGTTAATTTTGTTTTGTGTTAACAAATTAAATGTTACTTTTCTTTAAATTGTTTTATTTTATTAATATTCATCAATAAATAAATCATTTGTAGGCGATTATACATATCTTTTTAGCCATTCAAGTGTATTATGGTATATATTATTTATATTAAATAAAATTTAACATTAAAAAAGTGATTAAATTGATTCTGAAGTTAACAAATGTATATTGCACCTAAAATTTTTGAATATTTATAAATACGTATGTTATTAAAAACGCTAGTTTAATGAATACTTCTCAAATATGTTATAAAGATAATTTTTTTCTTTTTACAATATTGACTTAATAAATAGAACTTCTAAAAACGTACGTTTAATATTACAATTTACTTATTGTTTAGTTATAACTATCTTGGTTCAGGCTGAACCATTCAGCTAGCATTACCAATAACAATAATCAAGCATTGATAATTTGAGTCCCTTTTACCAAATCAATATTCTTAGCATAATAATTTTTATTATAAGTTTAAATTTATGATTAGTAAATAATTCTAACCCTCAGAGTAATGAACATGTCCCATTTTAATTTCGCTCTGATTACAAATCCAAATTTTTTTTTACATATTTTCATTAAACTATAATATTGTCTAAAGAAAAAACAATTAAATCAATTTTTCCAAAATCAGAAAAATATTTAAAACAAATTATTGAATCATACAAAATGAATAGTAAATTTTTAAACTCTTATCTAGCATTCTTCAAAGTTTGAAAAAAAAAAAATTATTTTTATATTTTTACAAATTTATTTATATAATTTATTTTACATAAGCAAACTGTTTTAAAAATTGTTCTTCAAGTGGATGCAATTCACCAACAATAACCATAGAATGCAATGGGGATCCTAAATCAATTTTTGCCATATCAGCTAATGTACTTACAACAATTTTCTGATCTGGCCATCCAATACGAGCAGCTCCAACACAAATACTATCTTTAGTAATATCTAAAATTAAAATATATAGAATAACTTTAATTATATAAGATTTATTTAAAAAAATAAAGGTTTTAATTTAAAACTTTTACATGTATATTTTTTGGGGACCTAACAATAATAAATATTTTTACCACTGCCTATTAGTAACACTAACTCATATATATATATATTGCAGATACAATATATTTCTTAAACGGGTGATGGTAATATTAGGTATACATTTTTATTTTATGCAATAATTTTTGTAGATAATATCAGTACTACTGTTTATAATATGCAGCAGGTACATATTTATAATAGTCTCAAAGTAGGTGTAGATCCGGAAGAAATATTTTTCAAGGACGCTTGCGCCTCTGTATACAAAGGAGACAAGCATACCAAAAATTTATATCACAAACTATTTATTAATAAAAATTGAACTTCAAGATATGCTTATACTTTATATTGAATTTACATATGACACTACTAGAACATAATCAGAACAATTAAAAAAATTAATATAAATTGCAAAGTGTTTTTTTTTTTTTTTTATGTATATAAACAAATAATTTTAAATAAAGTTAAATTTGTAAATTATATATGCAGTTAACTATTTGATACATTAATGCTAAATTATACTGACACAAAAAATTTTTATTGACCTTTCTTTTAACTATTAAAATTCTTTTACTTAGAATTAAAGAATTCTATTTATACAAATATTTTTACTTGAGAAAAACTCACAATTTTTTCCTTCAAATTCGTCTTTATCAATAATTTGCAAAAGTTGTTCACAAGCTTCTCTTACTTCCATAAATCTAGGGGGTTGATATTCCTTTTTTTTTTTGGTAATGCTTTCCCACGTAGGTTCTTTTACTTGAATGTCTATAATAAATATTTAGTTTAATTTGATTACTATTGTAATATTTTAAGAAAAAAAATATAATTTTTGGAGGAAATTCTTTTCACCTAATAAACATAATGTGTGTAATCCTATAGCTTTATTTTGATTTATTTTATTAAGAAAACTGGAAGGTTGCCATACATCAGTCCAAAATGGTATTGATACAGTTTCTCCAAAATGGTATAGCTTAAATACAAAATAAATAAATAACTATATAATTCAAATAACTTTGTTAGTATAAATTAGTAACCTGAAGTCCACAACATCCTATTGCATTAAGAATTGAAGCATTGTGAATTACTTTGGTTTTAATATTTAAATCTTGTGCTCTCAACAATATATCAGAATGAGTAGTAGCTCCAAAAGGATCACCTACAACTAATAAAACTACATCTTTTTCCTGGGCATTGTCCAACATCTCATCAGCGCGTTGTTCAACCATTTCTCGATCAGCTTCTATTAAAGACTTCTCATAAAATTTTTCCTAAAAATTTTTTTTTTTTTAATTCATAACTTTTAATGAAAAATAAATCTTAACTAATTGCTCTTTGTTCTCTGGTAAAATTGATGTGTATGACTCTAGGTAAACTCGATCGGCACTTCGAACAATTTCCAAACCTCTGACAGTAATATCTTTAACATCTCCTAACCCTATACCTATGATGAAAAACATAACTACAAAAACTAAATATAGTTCAATTAATCATGTAATAAATATGATTAAATCTTTTTTTTACTATTTAAGGACGAACGACTAGTCTGTAACTGTTAACGATAATGCACTATGAAAACGCACATGGTTCGTTATCATTTAGTATAAAATAAAATTATATCATTTATTCCTTTAACACTATCATCTAAGAATAGATAATATCTTATTCAATCTGTGATGTCACAGCATTCAGTATATTGTACAGATATACGTTAGTTGCCGGTTTTTTGTAATCATAACTGAATTAAAAATCTCAATAATATGACCGAGAGATATTATATGGCAAAATTTAATAGTTTTACTTAAAATAATTAATTTTATTAGACATCTAGATAGTTAATTATGTATTAGTTAAATTAAAGAAGATTAATTCAAATATTAGATAATTAATAATGCTAAATGATTACTATTAGTTAAAGAATGACACTTCATAAGACGATGGTTAATCAGTGGTCATTAGAAAGTTACTATGATGAACATAACTATGATTATGCAGTCGGTGAGTAATCTGAAAAAGTTTTTAATAGCTTAGAGTCGATATTTTTTTTAAAATGTCTATTTTCAATGAACTTTATACTCTTTTTATTTTATTTTTTTTACCTTAGACTTAACTAAGATCGTCTTGATTCATTAGTTTCATATTTATACTTCAGCTGAAGTTGTGTTAATATTTCTAAATTAGAAATTATTTTAAAAGTAAAACATAAAGGTAATGAGTGTTTAAGTGTAAATTGAAGGTAGTGTTTTACTCTAAATTATCAAAATAATTCCTATTGTTCTTAATTTTACTAATATTAATTATTATTAAAAATTTTAATGTGTTACTATAGACTATTATTATCATGATAATGATGCAAGTAATAATTCCGATGCATTGCAGTCATGGGTTCCTCTAGCTGGTAAAGAATATGAAAGTATTTCAATGTGGGATGATTTTTATCAACTTACCAATCATTGTGCTTTTCCTGCTGTATGGAAGACTTTTAGATTGAGTGGTCAAATTGGTGTAACTTTATTGACTTCATTATGTTTCCGTATCTTTATACTTATATGTAAGTTATTAGCTTAAATACAATTCTTATTATTAATAATATGAGTAATGGGTAATGATTATTTTAGTTTGTAAATTTAGATGTTTTCCTATGTCTATTATGCACTTAACTTGTGCCATTTGTGGGTTGTTACCTGTTCTGATTTGTGCATCATCTCAAGGAGATAATAATGTTGATTACTGGTGGTTTCCTGCTACATTAATAGTTGGATATGTGATTATTTTATACATAATTTCATATTCAGTAATACTGATTGGTGGTAATCATACTCAACATAAAAATTTTACTTCCGCAATAATATTTTTTGCAATTATTTTATTATTACTCATATACCGGTAATTAACTCAACCGATACTCTTTAGTCAAATTAATAAAATTCCTTCTATATTTCAGCGAGTATGTATTAGATAACTCTAGAGCCTGGCAAAGTTCTCGTGGAACCCATATGTTAATGTCTATGAAATCTGTGGCCTTAATATGGGACTTAAATTCTGGCCACTTAAAAAAATGGCCAACTATAATTGAATACATGGGATACATGATGTGTGCGGGTTGTACACAATTTGGACCTTATATAAGTTACAAACAGTATTTAAATGCATACCGTCCATTATCAGCAATATACATTTGGGTATCTATGCAATATAATATTATATCATTTATAGACACAATTTTTAATAATTTCTTATATTATAAACTGTTATCTAAAATTAACTACCAAAATTTTATAGAGCTCGAAAAAATGGATTTATGTGACTAAAGATGTTGTATTATCAGTACTGTGGTTTATGGGTTCTATTTGCTACATTGATTGGTTACTTGATACGAGCAATTATACAAATTATGGGTATAAATATACTATAAAAAATTAATTCAAATTTAATGTTGATAAAACTTTAGTAACTAAAATTATATTGTAGAATTGCTATTGCTGTTGACACCTATAGAAGAGCAGCATCATATAGGTGTGGTCATTATTTTGTAGGTGCTGTGGGATCTACAAATGCTCATTTGTGTGGTTTTATCAATAATAATAATGAAGCAGTAATTATAAATAAACCAAGTGATGTAGAATGGCCTAAGAAAATGTCCTATGTAGCATCTTCTTGGGATATTCCAACGCATCAATGGTTAAAATTGTGTAAGTATTTTAATAAATAGACATATTTATAAATAGTATAATAAATCTATAAATACAAAAATTTCTTATGCTAGATTTTTTTTCTAATTATCAAACCTGTTACATATTTTGTGATAAGCTACAAAGTACAAGATATAAAAAAGGCCTCTAAAATTAATTTATTCACAAATAATTGTAAAAATAATAAAGTAATCATAAAATAATCTGTGTCCTAGTATTGTGGAGATTTTGCTAATATTGAAGTTTTTTGTAAAAAATTGTTTTAGTTAATTGATTATATAAATAACTAATTTTAATTTTTTCACTAATTAAATTACTATAGAAAAATTAAGTGTAGAATACAAAAATAACATGAATATTATTTACAATGAACAGAAACTTATGAATTATTTTAGTATTTATTTTTAAATTATATTTTCTAAAAAAATGTTAAAAATGTATATAGAGTGATTAATTTATCGTTGAACATTCAATTTCTCCTAAAATAATAATAAAATAAAAATTGATTTATTATTTTATAAAACTCTTATATTGTAAGTTCTAGCTTTGATGCGAAGATGAAAAAGTATTAATTTTATTATGATATGTTTATATTAATTTTTTTTTGGTGTGTGTCTGTTACCACTCAGCTCTCACTGGATCGATTTTGATAAACAATACATTATCCTCAAAAATTTAAAAAGTTCATTCGCTCTCCGTAAATGGGGAAAAACCCCTCAAAAAATTACAATTTTAAAAATTGAGAAAAATAATTTTGAAATTTGAATTAGCTTAAATTGCCATTCTTTTTGGTCAACAAATGCAATGTAGAATTGGCGAATCGGTTAGACTTATATCTTCAACGTTTGGGGTACAAAGTTCGAACCTCAGCAAGTGAATTTTTTTCTTAATTATTTTTGAGTTGGAAAAAAATTTTTAACTCATTAAAATTCAATAATTTCAATAAATATTAAAGACCCATCACTGTAGTCTCCCCTCGTGGGTAGAAATTTCTTATTTATATTAAAATTATTTTACTATATGGATTTTTTTTTTAACTCATTCATTTTCTTAACTCTCACTTGACCTACTTTTACAATAAAAAAGAAAACAAATAACTTTTCTGATAAAGTTATTGTAAATAGTAATTATAAAATTTATTGAGTGCATATTATCATAACAATAACATTTTTTTAATTCTCATGTTTTCTATTTAATGATGTTAATTTCAAACTTGCAAGTTGAACTAAAAATTATGATAACAAATTCAACTTTTTTTTACTATAAACTTTCACAAAAATCAACTTTAAAGTATTAAAAAAATAAGTTAAAAAGTCCTGATTATTAACATATTAAAAATCAAAATTAGTAATAATTTGAAAACAACTTTTTTTTTCTTTTAATTTTTTTTCTATATGTAAATATTCATTTTTTATTAATTAGTAATAATACCAAATATTAGAAGTGATAGAAAAAGTCTAATTGCAGATTTGAAAATAGTGCAAAAAGTATATTTTTGCTTCTAATGAAAGTTCCTTGTAGTACAGTGTATTTATTCATAAGTATTTAAAAAAATTTGTATTAAAAAGTATTGCATCAAGCCCTTTAACTATCATCAATTTCTTAGAATTAAATATAATCTACAGATTTGCTTCGAAATGTTTCTTATGATAATGATTTTAATCACCGTCAGATATCATCCACTCTTGTTCCATCTATGCCATGTCCAAACTGTGCTATGATCCTACTGTGGTACCATTTTATTTTTCATTCTTTATAAAGAAATAAATTTTTTTTAACAGTATGTATTGAAAGGCATAAGAACCTTTATAAATATATATATATAGATAGGGTGATTGTTTTTTTATGAACTACTAATCAAAATATAATAAAAATTGATCACTTGTGGCTAGTTAATTAAGTAAAATTAAAACTATATTAAAAATATTATTAATTTAAAAAAAAAACTAAAAAATATTAAAAATATTAAACTCAAAAGCCACAAAAAAATTAATGAAAAGTCGCGGATACGTATTTCGGAAACAATGTTACCATTATCAACGCTAAACACATACTGACACCCCGNTATAAATAAAGGGGGTTTAGGAAAAAATGAAAAACATTCACGACTCATAAAAGACTTAAAAAATAAAAACTGTTTTTATTTAAAGGCAGATAAGGGGAATTCTGTTGTAATACTAAAAAAAGAAGATTATTATGAAAGAGTATCAAGAATGATTCAAGAGGGTCCTTATAAAGAAATTAAAAAGAATCCATTAAGTAAAATGATAAGGGAGGCTACAAACGTCATAAATAGTTCAAAATTAATAATCGAAGAAAAGTTCAGGTTTTTCATTAAAATTTCAAACCCTCAAATACCTAAACTATATGCTTTGCCAAAAATACATAAGCCAGGAAGTACTATGAGACCTATTGTGTCGAATATTAATGCTCCGACTTACAATTTGGCTAAACACCTAGTAAGGGTATTTTCATCTTTCAAAAAATTCGATAGTTTTTCAGTTAAAAATAATATTGATTTAGTTAAACAATTATCTAGTTATACCATTCAAAATAATGACAGGTTAATTTCTTTTGACGTAGTTGCCTTATTTCCGAATATTCCAATAAATATAACAATTGATTTTCTTAAAGACTGGCTAAAGGACCAAAACATTGAACAGGATAAAATAAATGAGCTTATTAATTTAACAAAGTTATGTATGAGTCAAAATGTTTTTCAGTTTCAAAATAAATTTTATGAGCAAACTGAGGGCACAGCAATGGGAAATCCGCTATCACCATTTTTAGCAGAACTTTTTATGAGTAGGTTTGAAACAAATTTAAAATACACTTATGGTGATTTTCCAAAAATTTGGGTTAGGTATGTCGATGATATTTTTGCAGTTATAAATAAAGATTTTAATATGGGGGTTTTCATACAACATTTAAATTCTTTTTACCCATCGATTAAATTTACATATGAACAAGAAATAGAGGGAAAATTGCCTTTTTTGGATTTATTAGTTAAAAGAACAGAGGGGGAACTAAATTTTGAAATTTATCGGAAAAACACACACACGTTCAGATACATTCCGAACACATCGAACCACACCTGGCAACACAAATTGTCAGCTTTTAATAGTATGGTTTACAGATTAATTAATATTCCGATGAATAAAATAGATTATGATAAAGAATTGGTGGTTATAAAAGAAATAGCTAAATTTAATGGGTATAACGAAAACATAATTTTGAAATTAGTCCGAAAACAAAAGTGGAAAAAAGAAAGGAGGGCAGCTAGTACACTCTCCAGCGAGGGGGAACAAAAAGTAATTAGATCACCAATTTTATTTTATCCGGGCATCTCAAATGGATTAACTAAAATATTTAAGAATTTTGGTATTACTTTGGTAACATCTAAGAGTAATAATTTAAGAGATTTATTAGGTAACCCTAAAGATAAGGTAGATGAAGGGGGGAAATCAGGCATTTATAAAATACAATGTGAAAGTTGTAATAAATGTTACGTAGGACAAACAAAAAGAAATATAGGGGTCAGGTTTAAAGAGCACTTAAGAAATATTAAAAATCAAGAAATTGAGAAATCTCCAGTGGCTGAACATTTATTGACACATAATCACTCTATTAAAACCATAAAACTAATTAAAAACGTAAATAATTACAAAGAACTTAATATCAGAGAAGCAATAGAAATGTTTAAAAATAAAAACAATTTAATTAATTGGGATCTTGGCCCACTGAAAAATTCATTATTAAACTTGTGTAAACTGGCAAAATGTGATAATATTACTTAGTGATAACGTCACTAGGTGATAAGGTCACTAGGGGTATATAAGGGAGTTTTTTCTAGTCGGGGTGTCAGTATGTGTTTAGCGTTGATAATGGTAACATTGTTTCCGAAATACGTATCCGCGACTTTTCATTAATTTTTTTGTGGCTTTTGAGTTTAATATTTTTAATATTTTTTAGTTTTTTTTTAAATTAATAATATTTTTAATATAGTTTTAATTTTACTTTACTAATCAAAAAATAAAGATTTTTTATTTTGATGTTACCCTCAATTTTTCAATCATAAAGTATTTTTATGTTCATTCCTTATACTTGATTAGGGTGTTAACTTAAATTTCTCAAATAGTAATACCTCTAATTAACAATCTTATTTAATAGATAATGATCTAATTATGAAAATTACTGGTTGATAACAACTTTTGGTCCAGTATTTTGAAGGTTATTGACATATTTAAGGCTAGGTGAGTAGAAGAGTACAGCTCGGAAACTTTTAGTTTTAAAAATAGTAGTGCCCACTCTTAACTTTCAATCATTACTTTAAATATGTCAATAACTTCCAAAATACTGAGCCAAAAGTTATTATCGATCAGTCATTTTCTTGATTAGATCATTATCTATCAAATAAGCTAATTAATTAAGGGTATTTCCATCTGAGAAATTAAAGTTAACACCCAAATAAGGTAAAGGAATGAACATAAAAATACTTAATGATTAAAAAATTGAGAGTAACATCAAATTAAAAAAAAATTATTTATTTTACGAATTATTAAGTGGTTCATGATTGGTGAATCATTCTGTATATTATAGTTTGATTTAATAGTCCAATATATTACTACTGAGTAGTATCAAGTATTGAAATTCATTTGGTAAAAAATGTTCTAATTATGTTAATATAATGTTAACATAATAGTTTGTTAATAGAAAAACATAAATTTGTAACTTCGTTTTTGCTTTCCTGAAAAATGTATAGAAATATATATATATTTATATATATGGTATAGACTACTACAATTTTTAAATGATTGGTTGATGATAGCTTTTTCCAAGAGAAATTTGGAATAATAAGTAATAACATAAATAAATGTTTAAATTGTATTTATTTTCTAGATGTATTTGATAAAATTTATAAATTTAGTAATGCCCCAACTGGAGCTGCAGTAACATACATCATCAGCTGCGCTATACATGGTTTTGAAATACGTGTGTCAGCTGTTCTTGCTATGATTGGAGGATGTTCATATGTTGAATTGTTAATGCGAAGAAAATTATTTAAAAAATATCCAACTTTGTTTGTAAAAGACAATAAATTAAAAAAAAATTCATCCTCTAAAGTCAAGAAATTTTTTCAAACTATGGTTAACCTTTCATTTACAATATTGAATATCTTTTACCTTGCATACTTAGGAGCTGTTATGGAATCAAGTACTGATACCTCTGAATCTCCTTTTTTTGTATGGCACAGATGTTTATATGCTGGCCATGTTCTTTTACTTCTTAATTCTATCATTATACTTCTATTATAAACTAATATTAAAATTTATAATAACATTTGAGAATTTTTTCTATCTTTCAATTTATTTTTATAATTTGAACAGTATTATTGAACTTTTAGAAACAATGTGTAAATGGTAATTTTTTCAATTTCATAATTTTTTGTTTTACTTTTTAATCTATAATGTAAGTGACAAAAAAATGTATTATTTTGTACTAACTTTAAGGTCTAATATTAATTTTATATAATTTATTTTATAAAGACTTATAGTAAGTTTTATAAAAACTGTGATGTTAGAGTTAATTTTTATGGTTAATAAAATAGTGGCTAATTAAACTTAAAGTATACATATATTTTTAAATATTCTTTTAAAAATTGAAATGTGTATTTTTTTATTCTAAACACCTTTATTTGAAAAATATTTTCTATGAAATATATTTTTATTCTTTTTACAAAAAAAATTTTAATTTCAAGTAAGACTTTATATGAACAGATTAAAAAAATGACTAGTGTTAGACAACTAAAAGAAAAGAAGAAAAAGCTGTATTTATAGATTTGGAGAAAGCGCATAACAGAGTACTCATAAAGATTTTTAAGCTGGTATTAATAAGAAAACAAGTTCTAAAAAGGTACATTAATATTGCAAGTGGGCTTTTTATCAACTGCAACAATAACGTGGTTTGCCGCTTGCATAACGATTAGTTACAGTAGCAAGGGTCACCACCAACTAGGCAAGGTGTCACGCTTATCAGATATAATTACTCTGAACCATAGGTGGAATTTAATTTTAAGTTAATATGTCGTTATATTTAAATGATTATAACACCTCGTGGTTTATTAATCAGAACTATGATAATTGAAGCTGTAAGTGGTTGATATATAAAACATACCATAGCTCGTGTCTAGATTAAGAAATAGAGATAAAATACACACGAATACTTAAGCTACTCATGCAATAAAAATAAATATTCTAGTTAAGATTAATAAGGAAATTTAATTTAATTGTTAAAAAAGAAAATTAAGTTAAGCATGGATAAAAATACGAATATATCAAAATCTATGTCTAAAAAGAAAGGTAACAAAAATAAAATAATACAACTAACATCACAGACGGTATTGAAACACATCCATTAATCAGAAATTAATGGAAAACTCCAGGGGCAGTCAGGACACTTGCTCCATAACGTTGGTTAGAAGAAAGAGGAAACGCGTGCTCTCCACACATAAATAAAATAATTAACAGAATTCTGCTCATTACATAAATATAATAATAAAAAAAAAAGAAAATACCCAGTCTCCGAAGAGAACCATCTAATGGTCTTGGTGTTTGCCGAAAAACCTGAAAAAATAGACTAAATGATTTAGTCATGTTATGACGAGAGAAGAATTGGTATCTGTGATAACAGTTATGGAAATGAATATTGAAGGAAAAAGAGGTAGAGGAAGACCAAAAATGAGATGGAGGAATGTTATTGAAGCGATATGAGGACGACTAATTTTATGTTTAGATGATGTAGGAGATCGTGTCAAGTAGAAGTTTAGGATATCACCGTAAAAAATGTAATTAGGTTAAGCTAAAATATTTCCAGAACTAAAATTTTTTTTCAATTTTATCAACAATTTTTGAAAATTATGATTATTTTAAGGAAACTAAATTTTTAATGTAAATATATATATTACATATAAATCAAATATATATTAAAAAAGCATTGCAGTAAAAATAATTTAAGATTTTTATATATTTAATATAAATAATGATAAAAAGTTAATTACACAAAAGTTAAACTATTCTTAACATAAACAAGTTATAATTAAAATATAAAAAACATTAATTACATTACCTATCACCAAATACTTAATATTTTCTCTATAAATTAATGATATGTTCTTAATTAAAGTATACATACCCTTTTATTGGGAAGGAAGTTATACTTCAAATAATACTTAAATTAATTAAGAACCACGAGAAAGGACGGAAAAAATTTACCAAAATAGGTTTTCATATACATTAATATGAACTCTCGTTTACTTCTTTGAATATATAGTATGAATGAACAATTAGAATTCATTGATGAAAGTGTGTAAGTCCATTTTGATTATACTCTGTACTTTTAGTATAAAATTAATCACAAAATAATTTTACGTTTACGAGACCATCGTTCATTAAATTCTTGTTGTGTAATGTCTGCAAATAATGGACCATCTTGTAATTCATACTTTGCTTCATTAAGCCATTCCTGTAATAAAAAATTATATTTCAATACATTTTTAAGAAATTTTATTTTATTATTCATTTATTAGTTTAAATAGAAATAATTATAATAGAAAATGAATACCTACTAAAAAAATCAGTATATATTATATATGTACTTTTTAATTTATAAAATTCAAACATTTTATGCTAAAAACTTGAAATATAAATTTTATGATTAATATGATAATTATTTTTAAAAAGATTAGTGCACACACCCAATTCCAATTAATTTTTCATTAATTTACACCAATCTCTAGGTTTTTAAACTTTTGCTGTTTTTTAAGCACAATTTTGTAAAACACATTTTGTGTCACCATATTTCAACACCCTGAACAATGATTAAGAAACAAAACTTTCCTCTCAAAAATTGACAAATTTATCCATATTTTTGTATATTTTTAGTAAATAAATAATAAATTCAAATAAATTGCAGAATTTTAGGATTTTTTACTTCGATAATAGAATTGGACTTCTTATTTATTTACAATATTTTTTTATCTTGTAATCATAGTATTTGGTATTTATTTATATCTTACAACAATATCGGGTCTTAGATTAATTCAGATTTAGAGGCATGATTATGATATTATCTTTTGTAAACATTTAGGTGAAGAAACAGTATTACTATAATTAAGTGCAAGATGCGCACAAAGGACCAACAAGTCTAAGAACATGGCAGTTTTTGCCCACTCTCTAACAGCTAAAAATAGAACAATATCCACAAAACATCAAACTACAAAAACTACAAAAAATGAACAATTTTATGAACATTCTTTAATGATGGTTAATATAAAAATAAAAGTTTAAATTATAAAGAAATGAAAGCAAAGGTTTAAAACAAATAAACAATAATTTAGTCAACTTGATTAAGACACTTAATCTAACAAAGAATTATGTAATTTTTTTTAAACTTTAACTAATATGATTACACAAAAATACATACTGCAAAAGTTTATTTTAACCTTAAAATTAACTAAATCAAATATTTAAAGGAAATTTTTTTAAAAATGTTGAGCTAATGATAAAAAAAACAATTAACTTACATCATTATCTCCCTGTGGTGGAACTATATTTGTAATATTTAAATCTGAAGGTCTAATAATCTGAATATGATTAATAGTATACAAGTAAAACATTTGAATTCCTATAGGGTCCATACCAAATGTAACTGCATTATTACTTATACACCTCTAAAAATAAGAAACATATTTTATTATTCTCAAGTATTATAAACATAATGTTCATTTGTTTAAAACTTATGTATTACCATTATCTTGTTTAAACACTACATTAAAATTAAAAAAAGTATTTTTAGTAGCAAAATTAAAAATAAAAATACATTTAATGACTATAAAATGTTGATATGCCTTTTTATAAAATAAGAAAATTTTAATTTTATATTAATACAAAAGTATACTACTAAATATAAGAATGATAAAAATTAAAAACTCAAAGTTAAGAATTGTATAATATAAAAAAAAAAGATTGTAATAATTCACAAAATTTTTATGTGAAACATATATATATAAACATGATTTTTTGGTTGAAAATTGAATAATTTTTTTATTTGTTTTAATTAACTTTTGGAAAAGAAGGAAAATTTGGTATATTGCCTTTGAATGAGAAAGCATCAATGTACAATTCTATGTTCATAAAAATAATATTACCTCTTGATTACTTTTCCTTCTATTCGGATCAAATAAATAGGACAGTTTTTGAGTATGAAATAATGTACAGCCATATTCATCTACATTATCAACAGCTTTAATAGTTCCCTCAAGACTTCTTAAATATCCATCTATCAAAGAAAAAATATTAAATTATTAATTAAACAAAATAAAATTTTAAAACATCAATTTTTTAAAAATATTACCTAATATTATATTAACATCTCCATTTTTTTCAATATTACAGGAGTTACCAATTGCTTGCATTAAAAATTTGAAAGTTATCCAATTGAATAAAGTGACAGAGTTAGCATCCAAAAATTTGTTGCCACCTTTTATCTTCAAATATGAACCAATGTAAAAATTTTGCTTATTCTCTGTTTCTAATATGTTAATTAAAGATATGATGTTATTGTGAATTGGCCATATATTATCTCTAATAATAAATAACCATTTATATTTTTTTGAATATGAGTTATATATAATATTCATAGCATGACAAAAGTGTTCCCATTGCTTATCAATATTCTTAGTCATTATCCAATCTATATTATCTTCAATTATATAAGGATTATTTTGCCCGACATAAACTATTTTGGAACAGCTATCATTTTGTCTCCAGGCATTACGTTGAGCTAAAGCATTGTCTACATCATCAATAAATATTACACATAGCATGGATACATTCTTAAAATAGGCTGAAGAAGAACTTTTCTTGGTAAAGTTCAAGAAATAGTAAATTCTTTGATAATCTGTTGCATATTTTTGTTGAGACAAATCAAAATCATCATAACTTTTTAAATATGTAAAAATATAGATGAATCCTATACCCAAAATAAATCCTAGTACGAATGGTATTGGCGACATCAGTAAAAATGATCGTCGCCGTCCATTACACCAAGATGTCATTGACTGTCAATAAATACAATGACAATATACATAGTCACATTTTATAATCTTAAAAATTATTTACGCTATTATTTCATTTTTTCAATTCCTATTTAAAATTGCGTAGGATATTAATAAAAGAAATTACAACTATTTTTTTTAGGTACAATTGATTGAAATATTAATAGTTACAGAATTCAAAAAACGTCACTAAAATTTTGGTTCAAGTAAAAATCATACACACCGTATTTATCATTCTATCCGCTGTATAAGATTAAATTAATTATGATATAATTTAGTGATAACTCATATTTACAGATTTACGCATGTTCAATGTTGTCAGATGTACGTTTAGTACGGTACATATACGGTTATTCTCAGCAATGTGCAGAGTACGGTATTGAATTCAAATATGTACGTAATTATGCAGTTAAATTGTTTTAATATTTTTTAAGAAAAATAAATCCTTAATGGTTTGCAGATCATTATAGCTTTTTAAATATGTAAAAATATAGATGAATCCTATACCCAAAATAAATCCTAGTACGAATGGTATTGGCGACATCAGTAAAAATGATCGTCGCCGTCCATTACACCAAGATGTCATTGACTGTCAATAAATACAATGACAATATACATAGTCACATTTTATAATCTTAAAAATTAATTACACTACTATTTCATTTTTTCAATTCCTATTTAAAATTAAAGATAAGATAACTTTTCTGTGACTATATACTACATAAATAAACTAAAATTTGTCAACTTACCTTAAATGATTAATTAATTTATACTCTGCTATATAGTCAGTAGACGTTGTTTTACCAATAAAATATGATGATAATTTATGAATAGTAGAATTAACAAGAAAGTACAATACTATAATTATCATATATGTCAATAATTTATTGCTAATCTTGTTTATTTTATGAAATACTTTTATATATTTTTAGTATAAATATGTGCCCATTTTATGTTCATTTTGAATTAAGAGTTATATAAAAAAATTTTTTGTTATAATATTACATTTCCTTTATATGTTCTTTTTACTAGTATACAATTTATTTACTTTTTCAACTAAAACTAATTTTATAAGTTATTGAATTATAAAAATAAATAATTATTTAATTATGAAAACTAAATCATATTTTTATAATAAAGCTTAATAGGTTAAAAATTTACTAAATTAAAAAAAAAATGTTGGTTAATATAGCTTAAATAAAGTTAAAATTTCAAATTTTGAAGAAAAAAAATTGAATTTTAAATAGATTTGTTATAAATTGGGACACTATGTAAATTGTACACATGTACAGAATAGGAATATGTACTTGAAAATATTTTCATATGTTAAGATTACAATAACAGAAAATATTTACGATCGCTCAATTAAATTTAAGGCCCACCGCACACCAGAAGAGCAAGCTGCTTTAAACAGTGTTTGCACTATACAGCCTAACTGTGTAGTCAGCCTAACACAGTTTTGTTAAAAATAAAACACAGGGAATTACGCTACAATTATCACTATGTAAAGTGTATAAAAAGTGTTGATAATAGTGTCCAATCGAGTGATGATGATGTGAAAAAAAGGTGGAAGGAGTATTTTGAAAAATTACTGAATGAGAAGTACCCAAAAGAGACATTAGAGGATATCTCGTAGAATGAAGGACTGGTAAATTTAATTAGTGAAAAGAGGTATGGGAGGCTGTGACATCAATGAAAAAGAATAAAGCAGTGAGAACAGATGAAGTGCCAGTAGAAGTATGGAAAATATTAGGCGGAGTTGGCGTAAAATGATTGAAGGAACTTATAAATAAAATCTTATTAGAAGGGAAAATTCCAAAAGAATGAAGGAATAGTATTGTGGTGCCGATATTTAAAGATAAAGGTGACATACAGGAGTGTGGAAATTATAGAGGCATAAAGCTTATGATTCATAGTAGATAAGAGAATAAGAAATGAGACATCGGTATCTAAAATCTAGTTTCGATTTATGCTTGGTAAGTCAACAATGGAGCCAGTATTTTGTGTGAAGCAACTAATAGAAAAGTTTAGTGAAAAATAGAAAAAGTTGTGTATGGTACTTATAGATTTGAAAAATGGAGAACACGAGGTAGGTGAAATGAGAAGTTCAGTGACAATAGGCGAGAACGTAATAGAAGTGGAAAGTTTTATTAGATGATGTGGAAGATACTGTTAGGTGGATGTTTAGTATAAGCGTGGTCGACAACAAAACTTTTTTTTTCCCATTCTTCTAAAACGTGTGGAGTGTACCATATACAAATAGCAATTGAAATGTTATATGCACATATGAGTATACTATATGTGCATATAGAAAACAAATTTTAAGTTGACTAAAACAAAAATGATTAACGATGTCGAAATTTACCACAATTATAAATCGTATTTTTTTAGCGTATTTCAATAATCTATACAGAACGAGTGTATTTTATTTTATTTTTAAAGCAATGTCTTCAACTAGATACAATTTGTGTTCTTTTGACGTAATGTTAAAAGAAATTGGTCCGGTAAGATCTGAGAAATAGTGGCGACAGAAAAAAAATACCACATCATAGTAAAATTAATACCATCTCAACTTCGAATCGAACGTAAAAAAAATCAATAAATCATAAAAAGCTTTTTTAGTTAGATAAATACTAAATAATATTTAATAAAAATATGTAATCAATATATTTAACATAAATTTGACACATCATTGACATTTATTTGGTAAATGACCTATATACAAATACTGACATTTTATAAATTAATATTACAATTCTTTAAGTTCATGTTTTAAGGCATAAAAAAATTTATTTTATTTCATAAATAACATTTATAAAATCAACATATTGTGTTTTAATAATTAAAAAATATTTTATACATCTTGTATATTAAAATTAATAAAAATTACATTGAAGAAGTACCCATTCCACTAAGTCTTTTAATATCAGTTATCAATTTAGAAGATGCAAGTTTGTAATCAACAGGCTTCATATTCATAACTGATACTTTTAATCTAGTTTCATTATTATAAGTCTCTAATTTAGCTCTTACTCTTGTTTCAAACATCTTGAATATCTTTTTATGAATAACATTGTTATATTCTTCTTTGTCATTGTCATATAATTTACCTAGTTCTGATGTATTTATTCCTAATAATCCTTCTCCTGCTTCTTGAAACATAGTTACCCATTGACTACTAGTAGTATCACACAGCTGTGCTTGAAGAAGTAATCTATATTTGAAATTTTCAGACTCGTCATTACATTTTTCACAACGGTAAGTTCCATCATTTCTGTCAATTACTTTTTTTTGACAATCAGCCTTTGGACATGCTTTGTAAAGTGCAGAATCACCTTTTATGAAGACTAAATATGAGTACATACTGTAATAATCAGCTTTATCTCCACTGCCAAGCTGAGCAATTTGAGCACTTTTAATAGTATGAAATTGTGAATTAGTTCCACTTTCAGAACGTGTAGATATACTATTAAACTCTACTGTTGAAGGAAGAGCATCATACCAACCTCTTAAACGATGAGAATCTTCAATATCAGGATTAATCTGAATTATTGACGATCCCATTAAAGACAATGACTTACTTCCCATAAATTCACGTATTTTACTTCCTTTTATTGCTACAACAGGCTGTAATGAGCCATCAAATTCCTCTGCAAGATTGTCCCAAAGAGTTACAGTTACAGAACTTAAAGACTGGTCTACCAAGGTAATGTCTCTTTTTCTCAAATCTTTTTTTGTAGTCTTTGAAACTAGATTTACAATATCAGATGTATGTTGACACACTCCTATAACATCAACCATACTATCAATATCTAGATTCTTAATTACATTTAATGAAATAAAATTAAATTTCATAGCAGGCATTTGAGTGTCATCAAAATCGTGGCAAGGAAATATTTGTGTTTCGCCATTAAGAGTTAATTCATAATCATTATTCAAGTTAGTATACTTTTTATTGGCTGTTTTAACAATACCCTTAGTAATAAAATACACCTTATTCACTTCAATCATATCATAGAATTTATCACACTCATTGTTAAAAGCAGTAGCTCGTATTTCACCATGTTCATCTACCAGGTCCATACTAAAGAGTTTTCCATCTCCTCTTTGATTAGTCCATGTACGAATAGCTGATTTGTTCATGATTCTTACTCTAATAGTCCATTTATTTTGATAAGGACTCAATGAATTTAATGGATGAATAGCATCAATATTATTTTGAAAGTTATTATTCAAGTTACTAGACTGTGGTTTTATTGGTGAAACTTTTTGATTAGTTGATACTTTAGTTGAAACAGAATTATTACTAGAAACTGCATCAATAATTGGTTTAGGATCACCAATTTTTAGGCCAACGTCACTTCCCTTTACTAAAACTGATATGTCCAATAGAAGTAAAACTTGTTTATTACTTTTTGTACGATCAGTAACATTGCTAATTATATGACGTTTTATTTTAATAATAGCAAAATCTGAAAGTTCACCAGATGATACCATACCATTTAATTGAGACGCTAATAGAGCAAAAGAATTGTGATTCAAACCATCAGAAATAAGCAAACGATACCTCTCGTCAGTACCAGATGCAGCAATTTTTCTAGAACCAAGAACTTGCATCACGGGTTCTTTTACTTCTTCATTATTCATTAGGGCTTGTATTGAGCCTTTACTTAAAATGGATTCATAATTCATTCCCATAATTGATGGATATTTTAAAAGATGTTTCAATAACAAAAACTTAATTCTTAAAATGTCTCTCTACACAAAATAATCGTTTCTTCTCATATAGATCGTAGCTGCCCTCTATCGTCTAAAATTGGTTTTCTCTCAAATAATCCTCACCTGGAAGAAATGTTCAGTTTTTTGACAATTGCAATTGTTTATCATCGATCGTTACAATTTCTCTATAGTTTTACGGAGTTAGTCATCTTATTCGGTATCTTTTGCAACCCTTCAGCAATTTTTTCGTTTTTAGGATTTTTCGCGTTTCACTATTTTCAAAATTCCATGGAGCCTAAAATAAAAAGGGTTGCCCCAACGTGCAGAGCTATCACGATTTGTGTTCCCGCCATTTAGTTCTTATCACTAAGTGCGTTGTAATGATGTATAGATAAGGAGACCAAACTTGCAATTGAAAACCGTCCTGTGAATTATCGTATACTTAAATATTATCAATCTGCGCATCGAACATACGTTAATCTACTTTTTGGTTGTTTTAAGCTTTAGTAATGGATTTTTATTTTGTTTTTAAATTTTAAATCGACGTTTGATATAAAGTTTATCAGCTATAAAATATCCGTTGACATCAGTTTATTCAGCGTAATTTAAAATTCATACTATATAAATAATTATAGAACCATGTTCACCAAATAAAATTTTGTAAATGTAAAGTGTATCAAAGATATTTGTCTATTATTGAAATCTATATAATTAGAGGAAAGCGGGACCAGATGGTACTTGAGACAAGATGACCAGCATAATTTTTACATTATAATATCATAAATATTATTATGATATATTGATACATTACAGAAATTACTAATATAGTTGTTTGCTGACGATATAGTGTTAATAGGAGGAAATTAATCAAAGACTAGAAGTATGGAGATCTGTTCTTGAAGAAAAGGGTTTAAGAATAAGTAGAAGTAAGATAGAGTATATAGAGTACGAGTTTAACAAAGGAGAACACGAGGTAGGTCAAATGAGGAGATCAGTGGCAATAGGCGAGTGCGTGATTGGAGAGGTAGAAAGTTTTAAGTATTTACGTTGGATTTAAGACACAGTATTAAGTGCGGGTGGTTGAAGTGCCTGGCGTATTATGCGATAAAATAATTCCATTGAGGCTGAAAGGTAAATTCTACAAGACTGTAGTGAGGCCAGCTATGATGTATGGTTCAGTGTTGGGCGGTTGATAAGAAAGTAGAGCAGAGATGAGAATGCTTAGATGGATGAGTGGAGTGACTAGAGAAGATAGGATAAGGAACGAGCATATAAGAGGGAGTATAGGTGTAGCGTCAATTGTGGATAAGATGAGAGAAATAAGACTCAGATGGTTTGGTCATATTATGAGGAGAGAGGAATCGGAAGCTGTAAGAACAGTTATAGAAATTAATGTTGAAGGAAGAAGAGGTAGAGGAAGACCAAAAAATAGATGGAGGGATGCTATTGAATGCAATATGAGGACAGCTGATGTGACCTTAGATGATGTAGGAGATCGTGTCAAGTGGAAGTTTAGGATAAGGGTGGTCGACTCCAAGTAGTTGGGATTAAGGCGAGGAAGAAAACTTTTAAAAATTGCTCAAATAGTCATTATCATTTAATCAAATTTCCATTAAACGTAGTTTTAATAGTTTTCTACTTTTTTTGTTGTCTCATCCTTGTTAGCTATAATAATTTTATTTACTCTTTTAGCTGTAAAATGTAAACATATTGTTAAAAAAATTTAAGAATATTCTTGGTAATTTTTTTTGTGTGTGAATTTCACAATCAAATAGCAAAACTAGAGTTGATTTTTAACCAGTCAGAATCTTTTGTGGTTAATCTATTAGATTTTAATGTGTCAAATGGTTAAATAAAATAACAAAAAAACATAATTTTTCTAATTTTACTTCACAATTAATAAGTTTTTTTAATTAAAAAAAAATAAGCTGGGTTATAATTTATAAGTTATTAAAAATACATTTTTTTATACCAAATACATTTTAATATAAATAGCAAATATTTCAATTAATAAGTAAAAAAGGCAGTTACAACTTTTTATAATGATTGACAATTTTTTCAAACATGTTTTAACGACAAGTACATTTTATTTTTAATATTTTTTCTCTCTGGATTGATTTTTTTCAACAACAAAGCAATTATGCTAACCAGCTGATCTGAACTTAAGTTTGATCGATTTTTAAACTTCGAAACTAGTTGAGTAGTTGTAATTGGTTTTCGTGATAAGTAACGCCGAACAGCTTCTTCAGTAATACCGTGTGTATCAGGCATAGTTAATGCAGAAAATTCTAATTTTAGTTTCTTCTTAGCTGGCTCAGCACTAAAATAAAAATAAAATTGTGTTTTTTTAAAGTTATTTAAATTTTTTTTTTTTATAATTACCTTAAATTATTTGAACTTGTACTCAATTGGTCTACATTAGTCTCTTTATTTCCATCAGAGCTTAAAGGTCTTTTTTTAAGCATTTCATTTTCAATATCTGAGCTATCTACAGAACTATCACTGTCAGTATCTAGAAATATAAAATTTGAAGTTATAAAATTAATTCTTCATAATATTTTTAAGATTGATTATTCGATCAATAATATTAAAAATCTATCATAAAATTAAATAAATTTTTTATAGGTACAAATTTAGAAAAGTATTACCAGACTCTTTTTTTGATTTTTTGTCTGATTGTTTTTTCTTTTTTTTGCTAGGTGTTGCTTGTTTTGGTTTATTTTCTTCTTTTTTTGCCTTATCTTCTTCTTCTACATCAGTATTATTTGCAATTTCTTTATTTTTTTCTTTTTGTTCTTCATCCTCATCTTCATCTTCATCTGATGTCAACAGACTTTTCAATGCTTTTTCTTCAGATACACCTTGCATTTCTTTGGTAACTTTTGCTTCATCATCTGATACTCTGTACAAATATATTAATATTTATAATTTATTTTAATACAGTAAAAATTAATTATTACTCATCCGATGAATCCGATATATAGTCAAGTTCTCTCCCTTCTTCATCACCATCATCACTTTCTTCAAAAGCAGATTCATCAGAACCTTTAGATTTTTTTTTTGATTTAGGTTGATTTTTATTTTTCACTAAAATTTAAACAAATGTTAACTGCTTAATTAAGATTTTTGATAAGTTTATATCAACATATTATCACACTATGAGTACTCAAGTGAAAAAACTCAAGATTAATAAATCAAGTAAAGTGTTTTTTTATGATAAAAAAAACACCCTTTAAAATACAATAGTGTATTATGTTGTATCTATAAAACTATAATACTAAATAATATTGTTTATAAATTAAACTACAAATTTTAAAATGTGATTTACTCAAATCCCATATTATAATAATTTATATTTTAAGTTGCTACACTAGAATATTCACAGTGTGATATGTTAATGTTTGGGTTAATATTACATATTGATCATTGAAGGAATAATATTTAGTAATTACAAATGGAGTATTCTTTTAATACTAGACATCAAATTTTTTTTAAATAATAAGTTTTTTGTAATTTTTTTTACCTTTTTCAGTTACATATGTATCTCCATTTATCTGTTATAAAATAATTCCATCACTTATATCTATAAAAGTTTCAACTTTATTTTTTTAAATGGCAACATACATATTTAATTAACTGATAAAATAGAAAACGATCTAACTAAAAAATTGATTAATTAATAACAATTTTTGATCAAACACTTAATAGCATTTCAAAAATAAAGGCTAAAGGTGTAAAAAGGATGTTGTTATTTTTATTACTAGTAATTTCTCAGCCAATCCCATCCTCCCGCTAAGGTGAAAAATTGTGAATAACATACAAAGTTTATTAAACCAAAAGTTGTTATTAACCAGTCACTTTTTTAATTAGATAAATTTATTTTTATAAGCTAGTTAAATATGTATGTTGTCATTTAAAAAATAAAATCAATACACTTATAAGATATAAAGGATGCAATTATTTTATAACAGATAAATGAAGATACATATGTAACAAAAGATAAATTCACAAAAAAAGTGTTAAAAGAATCACTTTGTACTTACATTTTTGTTTCTTTTTACTCTCAACTTTTTCTTCATCTTGTTCATCATCATCAGATTCTTCATCTTCACTATCAACCCAATCATCCATTTCAGAAATTTTAAGTTCTAAAAATTAATTCATTATAAAATTTATCATATCTCTAAACAATTAACTTCGTTTTTTTTATAAATATATAAAATGCAGAAAACCTTTGCTTTTCCGGTTTTTTGCTCCTTTTTTTCCCTTTCCTTTTTCTTCTTCATCTATTTCTTCATCTTCTTCATTTTTCAGTCTTTTTTGCAACATAAGATTAAAATGGTTCATCACCTTATTGCGTCTGGAAAATTTATTTAAAAATCTAAATAACTGTACAGAGTGATTCATTTATCATGTATGACATAATTAATCGAAAAATAAGAATAATATTGATAATTTTTCAATCACTCTGTATAGTAAAAAAAATATCAATTATTTAAACAAACCTTCCGAACTCTTCTTCTGCTTCTTCAGCAGAAAGTGTTTTATAACGTTGCACTGGTTGGAAATTATACCACTCCTCTAATTTATGAGCATTAATTATGCCATCTGATCCATGTGTAAAAACATAATATGATGAATTATCAGTTATACCACCTTCACGAACACCTCTAAATCTGTGATATACATTTAATAACACAAATTAAAATGTATAAAAACAACAAATAATCTTTATCTACTTTTTTCCTCCAACTTTCAAAATCCAAGGACTAGATTCAGAAACTTTTTTATTCCCACCATATCTTCTTTTTCTAGCTTCTTGTCTGGCTTCTCTACCAAATTCACTACCAGCTCCAAATCTAAAAAATATTTATAATAATTTATAATTAAAATACACATCAACATAACTTAAAAAATACTTTGGCATATCTTCTTCCTCAATTTTTCCATCTACCTTAACAACATCTCTTTCAATTTTGGCATGAATCCATTTTCCAAAATCAATATTCAAGTTACTATTAAATTTCATAATTTCATATTTTTTATTAGGTAATCTGAAAAATTTTCAATACGTTATATTTTTAAGCTAGTATTATATTATAATTAAATACTCAATGATTTTTCCATAACTAATTTTTATTAAATAATTTATAAATTCCAAATTTATAAAAAAGAATTTTGAAATTTTATGAAAGTCAAATTTTTAATGTCATGTTTTTATAATTACTTAACTGTTATTTTTATTCTACATTTACTATAAATTTTATTTTAATTTAATTATACAGTGGCATAGCTAGGTTTTGCTTAAAGACATTTTTTTTAATTATCACATACTTTACTACCACCTATGATATATTACAGTAAATAGTAATAATTAGCAGATTGAGGTGCTTAGCACTTTTAGCCCCTCTTGATAACGCCACTGTAATAATAAATAAAATACAAGAAAGTTTCATTAAATTTTAGGTTAATATTAATAAATCAATTAAATAATCATTAAATAAAAATGTATCTAAAAGAGATACTAAAGCTTCACAAAAATATTTAACCAAAGCAAGAAATTTTTTTAAAGAATGGGTCAAATATCTGTTTGTAATATAATTCATTTATATTTTTATATAATTAAATAATTGTATCAAATTAATAAGAAATTTTACAAAGAAAAACTTACTTTGGAATACGTAACGAAAACTCCTGGGTAGTTACAACTGGTTTCTGCATTTTTTTATTACTATTATTACTAACAGCCTAATATTAACAATTAATATAAATAATATCTATAATATCCAAAAAATTACATTGTACAATGCAACACAAGCAAATAATGAATTTGCATTTGTGGATAACAATAAACGAAAATATTTGTGATAACAAATAAAATAATGTTTACCGATATTGTTATTGTGTCATGATAGTAAGTTTTATCTTATCTACGATGTAGAACTAAGTTTAACCTTCTTTCAGAACTAAGTATGTATTTTGTAACGCCACCGTTTATATTTCATAAAATTTATAAATTATTCGATATTTCTTATTCATATAAAAATGAAATTATATTCTTATACNTGTAACGCCACCGTTTATATTTCATAAAATTTATAAATTATTCGATATTTCTTATTCATATAAAAATGAAATTATATTCTTATACCTTAAATTTTTCTAAATTACGACTGCTAAAAAATACAAAGCTTTCTTCATTAGTTACTTGTAAACATCGATTTTTTTCAAAAGAAAATGAAAATGATTTAGATATTCCAATGAATTATCATGATGTACCTAGTCAAAATATTAGAAACTTTAGTATAATTGCCCATGTTGATCATGGTAAAAGCACACTCGCTGATAGGATTTTAGAAATAACTAACACCATTAACATTGAAGATGGAAAAGCACAAATTTTAGATAGGTAATTAATATATAAACATATATATATATATATATACTATATATATATATATANATTCTATGTAATGTTTAAAAAATGATTACTATTAGACTTCAAGTAGAAAAAGAAAGAGGCATTACTGTCAAAGCTCAAACGGCATCATTATTTTATAAAAGCAAAACAAATGATCAGTTATATTTATTAAATTTAATTGATACACCAGGACATGTAGACTTCTCAAATGAAGTATCTAGGTCTTTATCAGCATGTCAAGGTGTTGTACTACTTGTTGATGCTAATCAAGGAGTACAAGCTCAAACAGTCGCTAATTTCTACTTAGCATTTTGCCAAAATTTAGTTATTATTCCTGTATTGAATAAGGTTGATTTAAAAAATGCCAATCCAAAAAAAGTAGAAGAGCAATTACAAGGTTTATTTGAAATCAAACCAGAAACAGTTCTCAAAGTAAAATGACATAAATTAAATTTATATATATATATATTATGTATATTATATTTAGATTATTTTTATTAATTTTAAAAGATATCAGCAAAACATGGAACAGGAGTTGATAATTTATTAGAAGCAATAGTTTCAAGATTGCCTGCTCCAATAACTGATCGTGAAGCATCTTTTAAAGCTTTAATATTTGATAGCTGGTTTGATAAATATCGTGGTGCTGTAATTATGATTTTTGTACAAAATGGGAGTGTAAAAGAAGGTGATGTCATTGTATCAGTTCATTCACAAATAACTTATCCAGTTAAAAATGTTGGAATTCTTCGACCTACAGAACATATTACTGGCACACTGTAAGTTTTATTGTGAACTTTATATTTATTAAAAATTGTTTTTTTTTAATTTATAATATATATATATATAACTTAGGTTTATTTATGACTCACTTTAAATATAAATTAATCTATTTATATTCATCCCATTTACTACATTCTGCATTTAATAATAATTTTTATTTATTATTTAATATTGTTGTTAGTTTTAATAAATAATTGATATTTTAATCTTATAACTGAGGCACCTATACTAAAGAGATCAATGTGACTAAAAATTGGGAAATGATTCTTTTCAATGCAGTTAATTTTCATAATTATTTACATCAAACTGTGTAGAGTTGGTGGTCAAGTAGGATTTTTAACATGTAACATGAGATCAGCAAAAGAAGCTTGCATTGGTGATACATTGCATCTTAAAGATAAACCTGTTGAACCATTCCCAGGATTTAAGCCAGCACAGCCAATGGTTTTTGCTGGACTATTTCCTATTGATCAATCTATGCATGGTGAAATGAAAAATGCTTTAGAACGGTTAACATTAAATGATTCTGCTGTGAGCGTTGCTACAGAATCTAGGTAATATTAATGGTGATTTATATTGCATAATAATTACTTTATTTCATAATATAATTATGTATTAATGAAATTAATCATTGAATTTTTTTAATGTAAAATATATTTAAAATGTTAATTTCAAACTAAAAACTATAAAATATATATTTTTCTTTAGTGCTGCATTAGGTCTTGGTTGGCGATTAGGGTTTTTAGGCTTATTACATTTGGATGTATTTAGTCAACGTTTAGAACAAGAATATAATGCTCAAGCAGTGATGACAGCTCCTAGTGTTACTTATAAAGGTATTTTTCTAATTAAATTTTCTAGGTTATCTATTAATTTTTTAAACTTTTAATAGCAAGGGTAAATTCAAAAAAAATCATTGATAAGTATGGAAGCAATGAATTCTTTTTTTCAAATCCAGTAGATTTTCCTGACCCAACTTATATTGAAGCTCTTTTTGAACCTATTATTTTGGGAACTATCATAACACCAGGTAAATTTTCTTAGGTATATTTCTGTAGTTTATATTTTAGTGCCTATTAGAATTATTTTAGTATAATCATGAAATGAATATTTTTAAGTAATTAAAAATAAAGTAAAATTGAAAAAATATATTAAAAACATATAAGAACTTTCCTATAATAAGTGAATAAATTTCAAGTTTTTAATAAGCGCTCCTAAATAACTGGTAAATACTTTTTATTGGAGTTTAAAAAACATCACATTTTTGTATTGGTCATATGTCAGTCTTTGTTTTCTAACACATATTTTAGAAAATAAATGTTTCAATTTACATTTTTCTTACTTTATTTATTGTATCTTTTAAATGTCAAAATAATTTGTTGTAATCCTAAAAAAAAAAATGAATAAAATATACTAGTTCTTTGTAACTCAAATTCTATGTACCAAGTTGAAACATACTCATGGCTCTTTAATTATAGATCAATACTTAGGAGATGTGTTATCATTGTGTATGGACAAACGAGGCATTCAAAAATCTTCAACCAATATTGATGATACAAGAATTCTTTTACAATGTTATTTACCATTAAATGAAATTGTAGTTGATTTTCATGACACCTTAAAATCTCTGACATCAGGATTTGGTAGTTTTGATTATGAAGATCATGGATATCAAGAGTCATATTTAACGAAAGTAGGTTTGTATTCAATAGATATTTAAATTATGCAGTGTCAAAAGAGATCTAATCTTTCATATTTTCTATTTTGGGTATAAAATATTTTTAATTTTTAGGGGGTTAGTGGGTTCAGGTGGCCTTAATAGTTTAGGGCCATCAGATTATGTTTTGGTAACATTGTCTAATTTTTTAATTTTAATATTTTTGGCGTTTGATTTTTATCTGTCTTTAGTATTGAAAAATTTTAAGTGAGCCTACACAAAATTTTTCATGTAAGGAATTAATTTTTTAGTGATTTTATGTTACATTTTGATTTAACACATTAAGTTGGGGAAAAGTGTTCCTCCTTGGATACAATTTATCAAAAATATCAGAAATTCAATTTGAATACAAATTATAAAGAAAGTATAATTTATTTAAAAATATTAGATATTGAGTCTTAATTTCATTTTTAATAGTAATAATTTGAGTTTTTAAATAATTAATTCTGTGTGTTTATGAAGTTTTTCAAATTGAGTTAAAAGTGGATTGGATTTCTAGTTCAAATGATTTTTTATTTTTATTATTACATACCATATCCTAACCAAACCCTACCCTTCAGACTCCTCGTTTGGGCTCTCATACTTAAAATTTTTAAAATGTTTTTATAAATGCTCTGAGATACGCAAATTGTAAAAATGGCCCAGATAACGTTAGATAATAATAATACTAATAAATGTAATTTAGATAGATATTTTACTTAATGGAAATGTTGTTGAAGAACTTGGCATGATTGCTCATGCTAGTAAAGCTGTAAATCTTGGAAGACGAATAGTGTTGAAGTTAGTAGAATTGATTCCTAGACAACAGTTTCAAGTAACTTAAAATCAATTTTATATATTAGAATAAATAACTAATCATTATTAAATAGATAGCAATCCAAGCTGCAGTTAAAGGAAAAGTAATTGCTAGAGAAAATATCAAACCATTTCGCAAAGATGTGACATCGAAACTGGTATAATAAAATTATTTTTTCTTTATTCATCTAATTTTAGATTAAATGGTAAATTATGTAAAAAACTTACATGTGTATATATATTTGGCCTTAGTAAAATTGTAAATTCTATATTATTACTAAGATTTTTATTGTACTAAATTTATCTAGAAAAAAGATTAACGTCTTTTTTACTCAATTAAATATGTTTTTTTATTTAGTGTGGAAAACGAGGTGGAGATATTACTCGAAAAATGAAATTATTAAAACAACAATCTGAAGCTAAAAAAAAAATGAAAATGGTTGGCAATATTGAAATACCACGTGATACATTTATCAACGTTCTTAAAAGATAAAAACTTGTTTTAAATAATTATTTGCGTTTGTTAAACACTATTTTGTTATTCAATAAAAATGTTAAGTGAATTTTTATTTAAAAAAATGTATTTACTTTTAATCATTATTCATCAGTTTTCAGTATTATAGTTGAACCACATTAGCTTACTAGGTTTTTTTTACTTTTTTTATTGCTTTGCATGATTTAATCATCCTTATAATTCAATGTTATGAATTTGGGTTATGAAATTCAATAAGATGGTATACAATTTTTTTAAATCGCTATATTTATTTAACTATGAGTTAAATTAATTTATACAAAGATGGGTGGGTAAGTCGACGGAAATAATTAACTCAAGTTAAATCAAATAAGAATAATACTGATTAGTTAAAAGTTAATAGTTTACAAACTTTAACTAATTAAGTTAAAAGATAGGAAAAAAAAATATTAATTTAACTCTGTTTAAAAAAACTTTATTTAAGTTTTAATTAAGTTTGCACATAAGGTGTTATTTTTTCTTTTTGATTTCCTAATTTATGAACAACACTAGTATAATTATAAGGTTTAACCCATAAGTATACATTCATAAAAGTGTATGTGTTAATTCTATGTGTGGTCATAAGATTTTGTCATAAGGAATGAATAACCTTTATGATAAAAATAATAATAAATTCTTAAAATTGAATTTCTCAAGTTTGTATAATTAATCATATTTTGTATATTAATTACGCTCAATAACATTTGCAATGTTTCATAATATAGGATATGTATAATAAAAATTGCAACAAAGGGTAAATAACGGGAATCTATCCTACTAATCACCATCCATTGACCTGACCTTTTTACATAATACCTTATTTGTACTATTTTTAAAAGTTTTCTTCTTCTTCCTCGCCTTAATCCCAACTACTTGGGGTCGGCCACCCTTATCCTAAACTTCCACTTGACACGATCTCCTACATCATCTAAGGTCACATCAGCTGTCCTCATATTGCATTCAATAGCATCCCTCCATCTATTTTTTGGTCTTCCTCTACCTCTTCTTCCTTCAACATTAATTTCTATAACTGTTCTTACAGCTTCCGATTCCTCTCTCCTCATAATATGACCAAACCATCTGAGTCTTATTTCTCTCATCTTATCCACAATTGACGCTACACCTATACTCCCTCTTATATGCTCGTTCCTTATCCTATCTTCTCTAGTCACTCCACTCATCCATCTAAGCATTCTCATCTCTGCTCTACTTTCTTATCAACCGCCCAACACTCTGAACCATACATCATAGCACTACATTCTATACACTACAGTCTTGTAGAATTTACCTTTTCGCCTCAATGGAATTCACAGTTTTTTCTTCTTTTCCCTAAATTTTTATTTTAGGTGCCTCTTACAAAATACTGGCTCCATTGTTGACTTACCAAGCATAAATCCAAACTGGTTTTTAGATACCGATGTCTAATTTCTTATTCTCTTATCTACTATGAATCATAAGCTTTATGCCTCTATAATTTCCACACTCCTGTATGTCACCTTTATCTTTAAATATCGGCACCACAATACTATTCCTTCATTCTTTTGGAATTTTCCCTTCTAATAAGATTTTATTTATAAGTTCCTTCAATCATTTTACGCCAACTCCGCCTAATATTTTCCATACTTCTACTGGCACTTCATCTGTTCTCACTGCTTTATTCTTTTTCATTGATGTCACAGCCTCCCATACCTCTTTTCACTAATTAAATTTACCAGTCCTTCATTCTACGAAATATCCTCTAATGTTTCTTTTGGGTACTTCTCATTCAGTAATTTTTCAAAATACTCTTTCTGCCTTTTTTTCACATCATCATAATCTTCTCTCCTTTTGCTATTCTGCCATACTTTGAATTGCTTTTTCTTATTTTCTATGATTTTTTTAACTCTTTTTTATTTTCCCCTTTCAATTTCCACCACTGGGCCCTCGATTTTCCTCCTATGTTCTTTCTGTTTTAATATATTCTCTTCTTACTACACGACAACTCCATTACCATCAGTCTATATTGTGTATTTACACTCTCACCTGAAATAACTTTACAATCTTTTACTCGCTTTACGCTCTCTCTCTCTTCCACATAAAATAATCAATATGTGGTTTATTACTCCCACTCTTATAAGTTATATAATGTTCTTCCTTCTTCCTAAAATAAGTATTCACCACGATCATATGATACTGCGAAATCCAGGATTCTTTCTCACGTCTCATTCTTGCCACTAAAACCATATTCTCCATATACTCTTTCATATCATCTCCTCTCATTAGCTACATGTCCATTGATATCTCCACCTATCTCCCCATCCTCATTGCCAGGTACCCCTTACATCACCTTATCCATCTCTCTCCAAAACACTTCCTTGTCTATTTCATCCTACTTGTGGTACATAGGCACTTTTTCCTCGGATATCAATTTTACAACTATAATTCTGTCACTTTTCCTAGCTACTTCTACTACTTTACTTTTCATCTCCTCATCCATTATTATCCCTACACCATTCTTTGTACTAGACTTACCTGAGTATATTATTTTATAACCCTCACCTAGTTTCCTTGATTTCTCTTCTTTCCACTTAATTTCCTGCACATAACAAATGTTAACTATTCTCCTCTTCAATACTTCTACTAATTCTTCACTTCTACCAGTTAATGTACCAACATTCCAAGTACCTATTCTTACTTTGTATCTATCTTTCTTCCTTATATACGAGTCCAGCCTAGAGTTATGTGGTGATGTCTTTACACCGTAGATACTACAAGAGTTGAGTAGACCTGTACACGTGATTTGTGAATAAGCTACCGCACAAGTTATCCGGTTAGTATCAAACACTTTATTCCTTAGGCCTTCTCCGTTTTTAACTACTTTATTCCCTCTCACCAGTTGTTCCCACGTACATCCGAGATTATTAATTTACATCAGAGCAATTCGCCTTAATTTTGCTCAAGACACCTCATACTATTTGACAAAAATTTTACGCCGGCTGTCGACCAGACGCAACCTCATTAGTCGCCTCTTACGACTGGTAGAGGAGCCGTGGAAATATTCTTATCCCCTATCCACAGGGAACTAACTTATTAGTTAGTTTTTGTAAAAAAGTTGCTATTTTAAATCCCCTTTGTGAGCAGAATAAGTGTTAGATTTTAAAAAAAAATGATATCAAACGAAAGGAAATTACCTAAGGTTTCAATATAAAAAAATATTATTTTGATTTGTTAATATTTGAAAAAGTTATGGCAATTTTAAGTACAAAAAAAACCCAGCACAGTGGGGTGGCGGCACAGTGGGATCGTGGCATAGGTGGGTCTAGTATAGATGATATCTGACAGTGATTAAAATCACTATCATAAAAAACGCTTCGATGCAAATCTGTAGATAGTGTTTAATTAAAAAAAAAAAAAATTTGTTAAAATAGCATTTTTTGAATACGGTAGCCATTTGCGCATAGAGGATAGGTCGTCGGGACAAATTTTTTTTTATAGTACATAAAATAAGCTTTAATTTGATATATGTTTAAAGGACGCAGTATTTTCGGAACACTTTCAAAAAGTTCTATGTTTCAAGTTTTGAACGCCCCCTTTATATGAGGAAATTGTCCAATTTTAATAAAAAGTATGTCAAATGAAAGATGTACTTATAATGTATTTAGAAAAAAAAAATTTGTGCTGATATATACATTTTTCAAAAAGTTATAGCATTTTTAAGTTGAAAATTAAAAATCGAAAATCGAAAATTTTAACACAAAAATAGTGTTTTTTTAACTACGGCAGCCGTTTAAATGTAGAAGAAAAAGTGTCGGGACAAATTTTTTTTTTTCATTTTATAGTACATAAAATAAGCTTTAATTTGATATATGTTTAAAGGACGCAGTATTTCCGGAACATTTTCAAAAGTTAAGTTGAAAAAGTTCTACTTTCTATACGCATTTTAAAAGGTTTAAACCCCCCCCATGAGCAGGTTAAGTGTTAGATTTTCAAAAAAATGATATCAAACGAAAGGGAAATATCTAAGGTTTTAGTATAAAAAAAAATTATGTTGATTCGTTTATTTTTGAAAAAGTTATGGAAGTTTTAAGAAAAAAAAGTGAAAAAAATGACAAAATTTACCGATTTTAAAAGTTGTAATTTTTTTGGATGTTTCCCCCATTTGCGGGGAACGAGGGAAAATTTTTCAATTTTTAATGGTAATGTCTTCAACTAGATACGATTTGTGATCTTTTGACGTATCTTTGAAAGAAATCGGTTCTGTGAGAGCTGAGAAAAAGTGGTAACAGACACAAAAAAAAAAAAACACATCATAGTAAAACCAATACCTTCTCAGCTTCGAATCGAAGCTAAAAATGACTGCTCTAATAATTTAGAAGTTTTTTAGGATTAGCANAATCGAAGCTAAAAATGACTGCTCTAATAATTTAGAAGTTTTTTAGGATTAGCATTTTAAAATATATACTGGAGATAAAGGGTACATATTATTTTTATCATTAGTCATTTCTCGGCCACTTACATCCTCCCACCTAGGTGCAAAACTGTAAATATCTTCCAAAGCGTTTGTCCAAAAGTTGTTTTCAACCACTTATTTTCTTAATTAGATCATTTTCTTTGTTACTTCTCTTCCTTAACGCGGTCATGAGTATAAAACAAATAAAAATTTGGTAACACTGGCAGTGTTTAACAACATTATCATTATTTAATAAGTAAAATTGGAGTTAAAAAAATTCACAGTTTTTTGGTTTTGGTAATTTAAGTATTAGTTATGGACAACGATGCAACCAGAAAATAATTTTGGGGTGGTTATATTTCTATTTAGAAAAATTCGAATAAGCATAAAAAAAAACTATATTAGTATACTGATATGTGCATATAGAAAACAAATTTTAAGTTGACTAAAACAAAAATGATTAATACAGTTTTGCTCATATGTTGTGCGATGGGCCAAACTTTAAATTTAAAACTTTATTAAAAATATTAATTTAATTCAAGAAGCTATAATTTAAAATTAAAGGGATTAAAAAAGTATCCAATGTCAAAAAGAGGAATGAAAATACTTGTAAAATAGAAGTATTTCAAAAAGTATTCACTACTATAAAAAAATTTGAATACTCTTACTTAAATACTTTACAACACTACCATATTATATACATAAAAAAGACGGTACCACAGTGGTGTCGTAGCACTGTGTGGAGGTGGGGCATAGTTGTAACAAGTATAGATGATATTTGACATTTATTAAAATCATCTTAAGAAACGCTTCGATGCAAATCTGTAGACAGTGTTTAATTTTAAGAAATTGGTGGATTATTCCAAAAGCTACACGATCTCTCCTATTTCCTTATTTAATTCCATATAAGCTTCATGAAGTATAAGTATAATATATGAATAAATATTTAATAAATTTGTTCAACTTGGACGGTCTTTGCACATAGAAGATAGGTCGTTGGGACAATTTTTTTTTATGTATAATATGTAACATAAGTTTTAATGTAACGTATATTTAAAGGATGCAATATTTAAGGAACATTTCCAAAGTTAAGTTGAAAAAATTGACTTTTGTGAAAAAGTTGCTATTTTGAATCGCCCCTATGGACGGGTAAAATGTCCGATTTACAACAAATTTATATCAAATGAAAGGGGAATATTTAAAGTAATTATTTAAAAAAATATTATTTTGTTTTTTCCTTTTTGAAAAAGTTTTAAGAAAAAAAAATTTTAAAAATGTCTAATATAAAAAAACCAACGCACTTATTAACATGTGAAATTACGATTTATAAAAATCAGATTAATTAATAAGGTAATATCACGCCGGCTTAAATTATAATATTTTAATATTTCGATGAAATTAATTTTTGGGTAAATTTATATTATAAATTTAATTTGTACATTTCAGTAAGTTTGATTTTAGGCAATACTAAAATAACTCGTAAATAGTTATTAAAATAATTCTTTCGTTATTTTTGGAGCACATAATGTATACTCGTGATACAGTGATGTTTCTAGCTCATTATGTGAATATCCGGTCGTAGAGTTTCGAGGGTGCACTATTATTCGGATAACCTTTAGAAAACAACGGATACCACATTGCCATTAGAGTTACATTGTAACTGAGAGCACACGACGTATTGTGTAGTACCAGACAATTATTTTGTACTAGTACTTCACTACGGGTCGATTATTCAGATAGAAAGTAGTGGGGGACAAGCAACCCACTTGCCCGAGGCCCCTCTCCAGACGACAACGTGAACCACCAGAACAACTCGACAACCAGAACCGGCTGCGTGCTTCAGTACTCGGAATCGACGTCGTCGGTACTCGTTGTAACTGTCATTGAACTGACGGCAGTACATGCTGACCATACGTTGTGCAGTAGTCGTTCCCACGTCCTCATTGGTAGGGCACGTTGTCAGTGGTGGTTACATACGACGACGCACCCGCGCGTCCGATGCGATGTAATCGGCACGCGCCTGTTATGCGCTATCGAGCCTGGACGCTTCTGCTTGCCGTATTCTTGTGGTCGACCGTTTGCGCGGCAAGCCTACAACAGGCAACCACCGTGGTCGGCGATGAGGACGATGTTCCTGTAGCATCCGTGTCCGTGGTCCATAAATGCTGCGGTCGAGACGCGTTGACTGGCTATGGGCCGTGGACACCGGAATTTACCTTAGAAGACGGTGAAGATGGACAGCAAAAGAAGTTACCTGCTTTATCGGTACCGTACAAGTGAGTGCCAAACAATGTTCATTGCAACTTCATCCGAGTGCCTAAAATTTCCTCGTAGAAAATTATTATTTTACACTAAAGTTCTTTATTTTTAATAATTAAATTCGCTTCAACAAATTCGATCTAGTTATGTAATACAAAAACACTACGATATGAATACACACTTTTGGATAATATTTTTATGTGCAATTTATATCCATGGCTTCAAAGCTGATTCGATTGGACGTTTCTATTGTCATTTAGAATTCCTTGTTGATATTTTTGCTGCACTTTTTACACACTAGAAAAACCGTTTTTCAGTCAAGTCGCGTGGCATTAGAGTTTTATTTTATTGCATACCCAGCAGCTGAAATATTCGCGTCGTTAGCCGGCCCATGTACGGCAGATACACACTAATACGTATGTGACGCATGCGATACATAAAAACACAATAAACCGGTTTCCTTGAATTTGCTACTCTTCACATTTATGTGTCGACAAGATTTCTATTATAATGCTCTATGTATCATCGACAAATGCACGCAGAATAATAAAAAGGTGGAAACAAACGTTTTCAATTATAATTAAAAAGATTAAAGTAATAAGTTAGATTAACGAGTTCTGACTTCGACATATGATTTTATTAGTCGTTTAAACGAGTAAAAATCTTAATGGTTAGTTAATTCATTTTATACGTTTAAATATAATTATTATATATATATATATATGTATATAATAATTAACTGGCACGATGGAGAGAGTTGTTAAATATTCAAAATAATTATTCTATTAATTGGACATCAAATATGTTTTTACTAAGAAGTCATAGTAATTTTATGATAGAGCTTCACACGTGTTAACAGAATACCTTCAGTCGTGTTTGAAGGGTAACGATCCAGCACGATTACGACGTGGAACGGTTTCGCTGGAGATATTGTAAATTACGTTTTATTTTATGATTGTTTTATGTAACATAATCAAGTTATTATAAAATAATTCAGTATTATTTCAAAATAATAACCTGTGAAAGGTTATTTATGTTTCATATTTCACTTCCACAGCCAGTTTATTCATTTCAATTGATGTAGGATTTAAATTTAATTAAAGAATAAACTCGATATTGTCGAATATGCGTATGAATGGAAACTATTTGTGAAGCTTTAGTTTGTGTTATTCATTTTTAATTGAAATGGAGGCTTTAAAAGGTATCAATCGACTAAAAGATATTTACATACCAACCTTTCAGTTAAATTTATTATATAAATAAGTATATTTATATTTATTATACACCTACTAACGTTCGTGATTTATCCTTCCCCTGTTTCATATTTTATTTTAATTTATGTCGTTTAATAAAGACATAGAAATAAGATAATTTCAGGATTATTAGATTTGATTAGCAATTTATAAGCATATCTAAATTTAGGAACTCTCAAAAAGTAGTTTTGCTAAAGAGATTTTTTGGATCTTATATACACTCTCTTGTATAATTGTTAATCACTATAAATTGATTAAATCTCGAATTGGTTAAAATATTTATTATATTAACATTGTTTTACATTTTATTTATGTATTTCATAATTTAATGAATTATAAATAATAATATAATAACATACAAAGATATATTTATTAATTATACAAAACCATTTATGAATGCAAAGAATATATAACTGCATAGTCATGTTTTCTGTAAAAATCCAGTAGATAGGTATTTCTTAATCAGCAGTTTAATTTCACTGGGTGCTGTCAATATAACTGTGTAGGAAGCTATTCTATGTTGAATTATTACTGTAGTATAATTAGGTGTTCTTCAAACTTTTTAGTAAAAAGTGTTTTCTTTATTTTAATTAAGAAGCGTTTTTATTAAAATCTAATACGTTCAACTACCCCCGTCCTAATTAACTGAAATTATGTGAAAATAACTTTTTAATTTTTTAGTTTTAATAAATATAAATAAATAATATTATTTTGATACAATTTAAAAATGTCGTTGTGGTTATATTTATAATCAAAAAAAGTTTGTTATTGATATTATATTTAATATGATATTAAGGTAAACCGAAAACTGGTATCAATATATGATAATTATTAATTAAAATAAACAAAGTAAAATGAATCCTTCTCAGCTTCGCATCGAAGTTAAAAACAATGAAATCCCAAAACAATTAGTCACCACAAGATTACTATGATGACTAATTTTTAACCAAACGCATTTAAATTTTTAAACAAAACCATTATTTTTTATATACTGAATGACAAAAAACACATGAGTAATATATTTTGTATGTATAATTTGGTGTTATATTTAACTTAATGTTTAACTTGTAATTTTATCATGGAGATTTCACCCATTAAAAAAATCATAGCATTGTTTTAATAAATGTATGTTAAAAAATCAATTTAGTTCTTCAATTCCTATTTAATATTATCCCATGAACATTTTTTTCATCGTCTATAAGTGTATTGTATAATTAAACTACTATTTATACTTCAATCTTATTTTTTTGGTTTTTATCATTTCACCGTGAAGAGAGACGGGAATGGGTTCCGGAATCTTTGATAACTCAACATATTTTCATATGACAAGGAGAAGTATTTTTAAAAATTAAAGTATACTGTATATTTTATATTTCAACTCAAATCATGATTGCATCTCTTATAAAAAAACTTCCTGAACCATAAAATTAATACCATTGATTTAATTATTAATTCAAATATTTTTCTAATGTTATTGAATTATTTTTTTATAGATGATAACTGAATATTTACTTAATTCACAGTATATACATTTGTATATTTATCGTATTGTTTGTCATTTCATAAAATTGAATCAAGTGGTAAAAATATTTATCAATTATGTCGCAAGAAGATTCTTTTCTGTAATTTTTAAGAAATTATAAAGTTATCTAAGATGTATTATATAACCAATTTTGTTGTTAATGTTTAATCTACTGTAATTACTTAATTTACTTTTTTAATATTATTGCTTAGTAGAGAAACCCCTATTTACTCCATGTTTAAATTATTATTATAAATTGATTTCGAAGTTTTACATAAATATTTATGCCTATATATTTTTTCATAATTTGTATAAAATAATATTGTACAATAACATTTTAGGAGTCTAAATTAAATTTTTTTTTCTATAGGAAAGACAATGATAAAATTTATAGTTAATAAAGTTTCTCACAAAAATATTAAGTACGCTACTGATAACACAAACGCAAATTATTGTAATCACCGTATTAAAATAACTTAAAAAAGTTAACTACATAGAATAAAAATTTTACGGGAACTAATTAATGAAAAAGTAATTTCCCCCGAAGAAATATAGTTGCATAACAATAAATATAATTTTCTTAACTTTTAGGGGTGCTAATATATAGTATACTAAAATATTATTAATACTTCGGTAAAGTATTTCTAGTTTCATTTTATAACATGTATGGGCTATGTGTCGTTTTACTAAGGAGACTTAAATAGTTTTCTATTGATGTAATGTTTTCTAAACCACGAATGTAAATTAATGATCTGTTTCTGGCAGTAAAATAAAAATAAATCTTTAAAAATATTGAACTGTAAATATTTTTTTTATCTGAAGTCAAGATAATATTATGTTGTTATAAATGCTACTATACGTGATTTTAAATTATACTTTTACGCGAATTTGAATGAATGCGATATGAGGACATCTGATGTGAACGTAGAGGATGTGGGAGATCGTGTGTGTCAAGTGGAAGTTTAGGATAAGGGTGGCCGACCCCAAGTAGTTGAGATTATGGCGAGGAAGAAGTAGAAAAAGAAGACTTTTACACGAATTTCTTTTTGTAATCATTTAATTAATACATATAATGGATAATAATAAGGGAACGTCGATAATCCCACAGTAAATGTACTAGTAACTGTTGGGACCACAGTTTTCGTGATTCGGTATTACTGTAGTGTCAAAAACAATTTTGCAAATTTAATTTGATCGCTAATTTTACATGTTGGCATAAGTAAGTAGGGTCGTTTTTACGAGGAATATGCTTCTCCATATATGGATTTAAATTATATCTTTGAAAAAATGTAATAATAAAGATAAAATAATCTTTATCCAAAAAAAGTTATAACTTATCTTTTTGCTAAATTTGAGATTTTTCAATGTAGATTAGTCACTGGATTTCCCAACTGTAAAAATCGACAACAGTGGTTAGTATATCATTATAAAGGATCTGGTGATCGTCTATCGCTATTTCCAAGTGGTAAATTAAGACATTATGTACTTAAACATCAACATGGTCATCAAAAAGATCAGCCACAAGATTTTGTTGTGGAACACGAGCGGTCTTTCGATTACGAACAAGGATTTTACTGTTTAGACAAGGTAAAGAAATTTAAAATATATATTCTTGGGAGAGATACACACAAGAAAAAATGTTATTCCCTTAAAACTATTATATTCTCTACGTGAGAATATTAGTATTGTCATTTTTACATAATGTTTATGTTTTCGCTGAAGTTCAAAGTTAGAACAATTTAAAAATGAATTAGCACTTCAGTCCGAAAGAGTGACCCTATTCCCTATCCCTTATTATTTTTTCTATTCTTTGATGAATATATCAAAAAATAAATGTAACTCTTAAATGTATTAAAAAAATAAAAATTTATTTTTTGGTTTGGTTTACGAATTTTCTAATTTATGGACATTTATTTTCTCATTTATTACAGGTTTTATAAAGGTGGCATTCATAGAATTTTTCAAAGTAGCTAATACTAAAAAACATTTTAGTGACCTTTTTTAGGCGATTTTTACTTAAATATTGGTTTAGTTCGGCCAAAGTGCTTAGACCATTTAACTTTTGGTTACGTTTCTGTTAAAAATTTTAAACTATAATGTATAAATAATATATAATTATAATAATTAACAAATGCTTTTTATTAATAGGTTATTGACATTGATAGGCCTGATTTGAACGCTCAAGTGGCAGTGATATGTACACCACAAATACCTTCTCCGTGGACAGACACCGACTTTGTCATGCGGAGAGTTGCCAACCCGGCCTGCCATTCCGTTGCCGTAATTTGCTTGTTATTGGTGGCCATCGTCCATTTTGTCTTGCCACAACTCAGAGATTTGATTGGCAATATGGTCACAACGTTGGCCTGTTTGATGATCGTAGCTGAGGTGGCAGATATTGTTCGCATCTTCGTCGAATATAACAGTCCAATAAGTTATCTAATAGCAGGTTAGTTAACTCCTAATTAATGAAAGATTTCAACAGCTTTTAGGCAAGTGTTTCGAAATCAAAATAAATGACATTAGTATTAATTAATTAGAGAGAAGATTTCATTTTATTGTTTAGTCCTTCTCAACTTTTGGACATATTTCCATCACATGATTTTTTTCTCAATTAAAAAAATCATATTATCAACACGAGTTGAACTTTACAAAAACATTATATATTTTTCCATTTTTTATTATACCAATTCATAATTTAATTGTTTAGACGCCCTTATAATAAGGCGTGTAATTTATTTACAATTATCAACTATAATGTATTGCTTATCACTAATATTTTACAGATTCTTTTCTCTACATCTCCACGTTGGGCTCGTTTTTTTGGCTGAATGCAATGGGCTATTATATTTGGAAAACGTTCAGATCTCGTAACGTATTCTTGCGAATTACGGATGGTCGCAAATACTGTTATTACTCGTTGTACGTGTGGGGGTGTACACTAGCTATGGGTGGCATGGCGCTTTTTGCTCATCTCATACTCGATACGTCGCGCCAATCTAACCCACATATCAATTATCAGTCTAAATTTACATCATCTTCTATTGCAACAGATGGAGCTATTGGTGAATATCTTTGCGTTGTTAATGCTTATAGTAATTGTTTGTAAAATGTTCAATTCACAGTCATACTTATTATCATTTTTTTAGGGTGGCTCGGCATAGCAGTTATTTTTGTTCCGGCAGTGTGTACTGTTCTAGTCAATTTGTTTTTTTATTCTTCTACCAAATCGGTCATTAAACGAATGTCCACCTATGGACAAATTCATCATAAAATGAAATACAGGTAGAATATTTACAAAATAACATTTATAAGTAATATTAATGACATCCAGCTATTCAATACCAAACACTAAGCTCATAGATTTTATTTGAAGGGGGAAGTAGTTTAAAAGAAAATATTACTTCATGTATTAGTGCAATCAAATGCAATCTCTATAGTGTATTTCGGAGAGGTGCGAGTTATAATCAGAGCCTATTATCCTTTAGATTCCGTGCTTTAAGAATTTGTTTTATAACACGTTTTTTGTTTATCATTCTTGTTAGAGAAAAATTATTTTTTTTTAGACTCCTTTGAATGCTTCCCCTCGCGGAAATCTTTAGTAAAAAGCGAAATATTTATTTGTATTGAAAGGAAGCCGGGATTCTTTTGTACTAATTTTTAGTAAAAATTATGCCATTATCTAAATGTGTAAGGGTCAAACATAGATTAGTTTTTTAATAGATTTTTTTTAATTGATAATGATTATTGAAAATTGAATAGCTTAATACAGCACTCACTTTAATAAAGTGATGTTAATAATGTATGTGCTTATATATCACATACCAAGTATACCTAATTTGTAACCATTACTAAGCCTGTAGACATAGACAAAAGAGTAAACGACTTTACTTGCTTCTCTCTCCAAACTCAAATTTATTCTTTTGATGAACTGGCCATCCATACTATTAAATTAATAAAAAGCGTGAGGATTGGCAATGACATAATGCCATAATTTATTATTATTTGTTTTCGTGCTTCATCTAAGATGTCAAAGCTAAATTTGTTTTCGACTAATCTATTATATAATTAAATAATAGATTAATAATAATTAAAACATCGAAATATAACTAGATTGTTATGAAATATAGTTAGATATCGATAAAAATATAGCTAAAAGTAATGTAATTAACTCAGTAGAGCCGATTTTAGTTATAACATATTGCATAAATATTAAATCTATACTTAACAATCAACTTAAGGATTTAATATAGGTCGTTCCATATTAGGCCAGTCAACGAAGGAAAAATGACGGAAAAAATTCCCAACGAATTTTTTTTTTTTTTTTTAAGTTGAATTATGATATGTATAATGACATACTAAAAGTCCTCATCGATTGGACTTGAGCTTTTTTTTTACAGCCTCGCAAAAGTTCAAAAATATAAGCTTTTTTTATTTTCTCAAAAAATATTTAACTTACAAAAAAAAATTTCGTACAAAAGTTGTTTAAAAGACAATTGTAAACAATAAAGGTATCTTATATTTTTTCATTTAAACAAATATTTTTTGAGTTACATTACATTTAATATGAGTACTAAAATTTATATTCCAATTTTTTTCATTTTACGGTTACTTTTTATCATGTTATACTTACATTAGACACAATGTTATAAATGCATGTGTGTGTATGTGTGAGTTATTTACTCATTTAATTATTTATTAGATTTATTTATAATATCTTTAAAGTGTAGTGTATAATAAGATTCAACGATAGAGTAAGTAATTGATTTGACGCTATATTGTTTAAACCCAACTAAACGCTAAATTGTACATTTCCAAACAACAATTATACTATGTCAATTGCTATCGGAATTTCTGCTAAACTTTTTCTTTTTCTTTGCCTTAATCCCAACTACTTGGGGTCGGTCACCCTCATCCTAAACTTCCACTTGACACGATCTCCCACATCTTCTACGCTCACATCAGCTGTTCTCATATCGCATTCAATAACTTCCCTCAATCTCTTTTTTGGTCTTCCTCTACCTCTCCTTTCTTCAACATTCATTTCTATAACTGTTCTTACAGCTTCCGATTCTTCTCTTCTCATAACATAACAAATTATCTAAGTCTATTTTCTCTCAGCTTATCCACGATTGCCGCTACACTTATATTACCTCTTATATGCTCGTTCCTTATTCTATCTTTTTTAGTCGCTCCACTAATCCATCTAAGCATTCTCATCTCTGCTCTACTTTCTTATAAACCGCCCCCAACACTCTGAACCATACATCATAGCTGGTCACACTACATTGTTGTAGAATTTACCTTTTAGCCTCATTGGAATTCTTTTATGGCATAAGACACCATACGCTTCTCTCTACTTCAACCACCCGCACTTAATCCTGTGTCTTACATACTCGTCAATACCACTGCTCTTTTTCACTACTGATCCTAAATATTTAAAACTTTCTACCTCCCCATTCACACTCTCGCCTATTGTCACTGATCTCCTCATTTTATATACCTCATGTTTTCTTTTGTCAACCCAGTCAGAATTTTTGGTAATGATCAAATTAATTGTCATAAAGTGTCTAAAATTGGTCTTGTTCTAGTAAACTCAATGGTGGATAATAACTTTCATGATATAAATCTTAAAAGGTCAAATAAAGTTATAACTGTATCTTCAATAACTTCTATTGTTAACATGAATAATGAAATAATTAAAGTAAACCCATTGCTACTATTTCAACAAATCTGTAGATAGTGTTTAATTTTAAAATTTTAATGGATTATTACAAAAGCTACATGATCTCCTATTTCCTTATTTATATCCTAAATACAAGTTATATGCATTACTAGTGCAAAGTATGTAATCGATGGAAGATTTCTCCACTATAAAGTTATTTGACAAATGTATCAAACAAAATTTTTTTCCATTTTTTTATTCATTATCCCATTCTAAATTTTGATAGAATATATCTTCCAACAAAAGTACAATTTTCTTGATCTTTAATCTTTATTTCTATTGAATTTGTACGCCATTGACTTTTTCAATGGTCACATATAATAGAACATTTAAGCCCTGTTTTTCGGCAGGCACAATTTTTACTAGCGCCAGCACCTGACTAAAGGCCAATTCGTTTTATGACAACTATCTTTATCATTACCAGAAATTCCGGTGGCAATTGACATAATATAATTGTTGTTTGGGAATGTACAATTTAGCGTTTAGTTGGATTTAAACAATATAGCGTCAAATCAATTACTTACTCTATCGGTTGTATCTTATTATACACTACACTTTAAAGATATTATAAATAAATCTAATAAATAATTAAATGAGTAAATAACTCACACATACACACACATGCATTTATAACATTGTGTCTAATGTAAGTATAACATGATAAAAAGTAACCGTAAAATGAAAAAAATTGGAAAATAAATTTTAGTACTCATATTAAATGTAATGTAACTCAAAAAATATTTGTTTAAATGAAAAAATATAAGATACCTTTATTGTCTACAATTGTCTTTTAAACAACTTTTGTACGAAACTTTTTTTTGTAAGTTAAATATTTTTTGAGAAAATAAAAAAAGCTTATATTTTTGAACTTTTGCGAGGCTGTAAAAAAAAAGCTCAAGTCCAATCGATGAGGACTTTTAGTATGTCATTATACATATCTTAATTCAACTTAAAAAAAAAAAAAAAATTCGTTGGGAATTTTTTCCACCATTCGCCAAAATTACTCCTTCGTTGACTGGCTTATATATGTAATTCCAGGAATTGGTATCATTAGTTATATTTACAATAGAATAATGGTCTAATAAATTTTACTTAAGCAAAATTTTATTTTTATAGTTTTGACATGTTTTCAAAGCTGTTTGGAATCATGGTAGTAAATTTAATGCTGTTTGTTCTATCGTGGACGCCTCATGATGCTTTTTTCTATGTATATGTGGTGGCCAATCCAATACTATCAATTTTTGTACTATATGTAACGGTTATACGACCAAAACGAGTTAAATTCCTGTTACGAAAAGCATGCTGTTTTGACCGATGCCTGTTTCCATGTTGCCGACCAAAAGAAACTGATATCCAAGCAGGCACAGAATGGGGCGAAGAAATGATGGCGTTTAATACAGCGGATTATTAATATGTTGTATGATAGAAGAAGAATAATAACGTTAATGCTCATTCTGATTTTATATTTTTTTAGAAACTAATCATTTTATTTTATTTGTTTAATTGATAAAATATCATGTTATCAAAATATAGTGACTGACATTGAGCTTAATAGTGTAAATTAAAAATATTTAAATTTTATTTAACTTAACATTGAATACTTTTCTATTTATGATATTATACAATAAAATAAGTATTATTCAATTGTGAAATCCATTGTTTATATTTTAAATGTTATTTTAGTACACTGATCTTATTTTTGTTGGGATAGANGTATTATTCAATTGTGAAATCCATTGTTTATATTTTAAATGTTATTTTAGTACACTGATCTTATTTTTGTTGGGATAGAATCTTGTAGTTCATTGTTAATTAATATGATTCGTTGTATTATCTGCAGAAAACAAACTATAATTTAACATATCATAAGATTTATTATTATTTCTTTGTGAAATAAATAATAATAGATTACCCAATTTTTTTAACGGTACGTCAAAATATTTAATTGGAGGTAAAGAAGGTAGAGAAGAATAATAAATGATATTAAAAATAAAGTATTATTTTATTGTATACTAATTTTTTTATAAATGAATTTATTGTAACAATAACAATAATAATAATAATTGACAACAAAACATAATTTTCTTTTGTATTGTCCTAATAATTATAATTTATCACACATTAATTAATTATCTAATCTTTTGGGTACATTTTTTGTAGCCATTTCTTTGGTATATACCTTGCGCCATCAAATTTTTCAAAATAATAGTTTGACATTTTATTATATAGCTAGAATTAAAAAACATAGGATAAATATAAAATGAATAGGCTCCTATCAGATGAATAGATTATTTACACATATAAATAAATAAAATATACATAAAATCTAGGAATATAATAATAAATTTATCTACAAATAATTTTAATTTCTTGCAGTCAAGATACATAGTAAAATATACAGGGTGGCCCACCACTCACTGACAACTTAAATAACTTTTGATCCAGTTAATATTTTTAGCTGATTTTTTTTT